TATTCTACTACACTGAGGGGATGGATTTGTTGAAGACATCCCATTTAGGACTGAGCGTCCCAGAGTCCTTCCCTCTCTGCAAACTGTCCAGTTGTAGATCTTGGTATTTTGTTTCCATCTACTGTAGGAGGAAAGCAGCTCTGATGGCTGAGCATGGCACTGATGTAAGAGTATAGCAGAATGTAATTAGGAGTCATTTTATTGCTGTGTTCCTTTGGCATAACAGTAGTATTTGGTCTTTGCTTAGATCCATGACCTGTCTAGTCTCAGGTTCTAGGCCACACGAGCTGCATAAAGCATGGATTCCATCTCATGGGGTGGGCCTTAAATCCAACCAGAGAGTGGTTGGCTGCTGCTGCAGGTGTGTGGATTTATGTCTGGATCTTCAATTTGATTCCATTTATCAATATGCCTATGTTTATGCCAATCCCATGCTATTTTTACTACTATTGCTCTGTAGTACAGTTCTGTTGTTGTTGTTTTGTTTGTTTTTTGTTTGTTTGTTTGTTTTTTTGAGACAGGGTTTCTCTGTAGTTTTGGTGCCTGTCCTAGATCTCGCTCTGTAGACCAGGCTGGCCTCGAACTCACAGAGATCTGCCTGGCTCTGCCTCCAAGTACTGGGATTAAAGGCATGCGCCACCACCGCCCGCTGTAGTACAGTTTTAAATAAGGGGTGGTGATACACCCAGCAGTTATTTTTATCATCCCACTCTGAAATCTAAGGATTGTTTTAGCTGTCCTGATTTTTTGGTGTTTCCATATGAAGTTGAAAATTGCCCTTTCAAGATCTGTGAAGAATTGTGTTGGAGTTTTAATGGGGAAGTGCATCTGTAGATTGCTCTTGAATGGCTTTTTTTGTTTTTGTTTGTTTGTTTGTTTGTTTTCTATATTAATCTACTGATCCATGAGCATGGATAATCTTTCCAATCTTCTGATAGCTTCATCAATTTCGCTTTAATGTCTTCAAGTTTTTTTTTTTTTTTTTTTTTTTTTTTTGGTTTTTCCAGACAGGGTTTCTCTGTGTAGTTTTGCGCCTTTCCTGGAACTCGCTTTGTAGACCAGGCTGGCCTTGAACTCACAGAGATCTGCCTGGCTCTGCCTCCCGAGTGCTGGGATTAAAGGCGTGTGCCACCACCGCCCAGCTGTCTTCAAGTTTTTATCATACAAGTCTTTTACTTGCTTAGAGATACCCCAATATATTTTATATTATTTGAAGCTATTGTAAAAGGTTTTGTTTCCGATTGCTTTCTTGGTCCATTTGTGATTTGTATATAGGAGGTCTACTCATTTTTGAGAGTTAATTTTTTATTCAGTTACTTTGCTGAAAATGTTTATCAGTTGTGGGAATTCCCCAGTGGAATTTTAAAAAATGATTTATTTTTATTTTGTGTGCATTGGTGTTTTGCCCACATGTATGTCTATGTGAGAATGTCAGATCCCCTGGAACTGGAGTTACAGACAGTTATAAGCCATCATGTGGGTGCTAGGAATTGAACCCAGGTTCTCTGGAAGAGCAGCCAGTGTTCTTAACTGCTGAGCTATCTCCCCAACCCCACCCCTCTTCAGTGGAATATTTCAAGTCACTTGCGTAAACTTTCATATCATCTGCAAATAAAGATACTTTGACTTCTTCCTTAATCTCCTTGAGTGTCTTAATTGCTCTAGCTAAGATTACTTTAAGTACTATATTGAATATAGTACTTTTCTTTTTTGTTCCTGATTTTAGTAGAATTACTTTTAGTTTCTCTCCATTTAAACTGATGTTGGCTATGGCTTGCAGTAACTTGCCTTTATTATGTTTAGTTATGTCCCTTGTATCCCATTCTCTCCAGGAATTTCACCATGAAGGGTGATAGATTTTTGTCAAAGGCTTTTTTGGTATCCAGTGAGATAATCATTGTTGTTTTCTTTTAATTTATTCATGTGGTAGATTACATTTACTCATTTTCATATGTTAAGCCATCCCTGCATCTTTGGGATGAAGCCTACTTGATCATGGTGGATTGTCTTTTTGAATGTTCTTGGATTTGGTTTGAAAGTGTTTTGTTGAGTATTTTTGCATCTATGTTCATAAGGGAAATTTGTCTGTAATTCTCTTTCATTGTTGAATATGTCTTTTGGGTATCAGGATAACTGTGACCTCATAAAATGAATTGGGAAGTGTTCCTTCTGTTTCCATTTTGTGGAATACTTTTAGGAGTATTGACATTGACTCTTTGAAAGTCTGGTAGAATTCTGCGCTAAAACTTTCTGGCCCTGGGCTTTCTTTGGTTGGGAGACTTATAATTACTGTTTCTGTTTCACTAGCTATTTAAATTGTTTATCTGATCTTCATTTAACTTTGGTAAGTAGTACCTATTGAGAAAATGATCCATTTCTTTTAGATTTTTTTCCAATTTGATGGGAGTACAGGTTTTTAAATACGCTCTTACAATTTTGTGAATTTCCTGAGTGTCAGTCTTGGCCCATTTTTCATTCAATAGTGAGTTGTTCAGTTTCCATGAGTTTGTAAACTTTGTGTTTCTCTTGTTGTTGATATCCAGCTTTAATCTATGGTGGTCTTATAGGATTCCTGAAATTTCCATTTTCCTGTATCTCTTGGGACTTGTTTGTTTCCAAGTGTGTGGTCAGTTTTGGACAAAGTTCCATGAGGTGCAGAGAAGAAGGTATATTCTTTTGTGTTTGGGTGAAATGCAAATATCTCTTAGGTCCATTTGGTTTATGACATCAGTTAGTTCCAGCCTTTCTCTGTTTAGTTTTTGTCTGGATAACCTGACTCTTGGTAAAGGTGAAGTCTCCCACTTATCAGTATGTGAGGTCAATATGTGACTTTAGCTGTAGTAGTGTTTCTTTTATGAACTTATGGGTGCCTTCATGTTTGGTGCATAGATGTTAAGAATTGAAAAGTCCTCTTGTTGAATTTTTCCATTGAGTATGTAGTGTCCTTCCCTACCTCTTCTCGTTAGTTTTGATTTGAAATCTATTTTTGTCAGATATTAATATGGCTATGGCCAGCTTGTTTCTTAGGTCCATTTTCTTGGAATATCTTTTTCTATCCTTTTACCCTGAGGTGATGTCTATCCTTGATGTTAAGGTGTGTGTGTTTGTTTCCTTTTTTTTTTTTGGTTTTTTTTTTTGGTTTTTTCGAGCCAGGGTTTCTCTGTGTAGCTTTGCGCCTTTCCTGGAACTCACTTGGTAGCCCAGGCTGGCCTCGAACTCACAGAGATCCTCCTGGCTCTGCCTCCCGAGTGCTGGGATTAAAGGCGTGCGCCACCACCGCCCGGCTCCTTTTTTTTTTTTAAGGTAAGTTTCTTGAATGCAGCAGAAGGATGGATCTTTGTATCCATTCTTTTAGTTTGTGTCTTCTTATTGGGAAATGAGACATTGATGTTGAGAGAGATCAGTGTTTATTGATTCCTGTTATTTGTTACTATGTTGTGGGGTTTTTCCCTCTCTTTGATTTGTTGGTCTGGGATTATTTATTTCTTGGGTGTAGTTAACCTCTTCAGGCTGAGATTTTCTTTCTAGTGCCTTCTATAGAGTTGTATCTGTAAATACTAATTAAATTTGGTTTTATAATGCAGTGTGTTCCTTTCTCTATTTGTTGTGTTTGAACATTTTGCTGGATATAGTAGTCTGGGCTGGTATCTTTAACCTACTCTTTACTGACCAATAATGTTGTTCTGTTCCAGCTTTGACTGGTGTGCTCCTCCTAAGAAGAGAGGGCTTGCCCCAATTGAGTGCTTTAATAGAATATCTGGTGCGTTATTCACTAATGACAGATTTCAGGTCAGCACAAATAAACTGACATTTATGGATCTTGAGCTGAAATTGAAAGATAAGAACACCCTTTTTACACGAATTTTAAATGGACAGGTATGCCTTTTAAGTTTCAAGCTGTGAATATTAGCCAGTGATCTCTCTTAAATTAAACCAAATGTATACATTAAGTAGGTTTTTACTAATATTTCATATTTTACTAATACTATTTTACTAATATATACATATTTTATATATATTTACTAATATATTTTACTAATATTTAATATTTAGATTCATTTACTCAAAAGACTTCTGTGTTTAAATACTCAATGTTTGTTGAAATAAACATTTAAATATTTTGTGTTTGTGTGTGTACGCAAGTACACATGAAGGCCGAAGGAAGGAATCAACTCCCATAGAGCTAGACTTATAAGCAATGACCCACCCAAAGAGCAGCAAGTGCACTTAATAGCTAAGTTTTTTTCTCCAGCCAGTTTAGCCAGATTTGAATATTATATAATATATATGTGCAATATTACATAGTACCCCATCAGTGTGTGTAACCTTTATGCTTTGATATGTCAGTTAAGTTTTTTTTCCTAAGACTTTGGTGATTTAATTTTTTTTTATTTGGAGTTTTTAACTGTTCATCACAGTAAAAAAATTTTAAGTTGGTTAAACTGTGTTTGTATAAAATTTACTTGCCTGCCTTTATTAACACCCCCAACCCCACCCCCACCCCCCCCCCCCCACCCCCGTGAGAAAGTCTCATGTATGGCAGGCCTACTTCAAACCTTTTATAGCCTAACCTGGCCTTGAACTCTTGATCCTGTCTGGTCCTCCTGCCTCTTACCTCCCAAGTGCTGGAATTACATGCATATGCTGCCATGCCCCACTTTATTAGATCTTAGTATCGAGACTTTAGTATCATCTCCACTTAATATGAATATGTATAATTGTGTTTCACGGGAACTGAACATTAACTACTCTATAAGGCTTTAATAATTTTTTGTTTGTTCTTGCACATGTTGATGTTCATGTGCATGTGTGTGCCAGGGCATGCATGTAGAGGTCTGAGGACAACTTGCTAGAGTCAGTTATCTCCTTCCATTATGTGAGTTTTAAAGACGGAACTTGGGTTTTCAGGTTTGGTGGCAAGTGTCTGTACCGGTTGAGCCACCTCACTACCCCTTAACTATGCAATTTTGTCTTGCTTTGTAAGGTACCAAAGGGGGGGCGCGTATAATTATGGAATACTTTTGGCTCAAAGGTGATTTGAGATTGATCAATATTAAAATGCATGCACTGGTAATAAAACAAAATGATTTCATTGGGTAGAAGTTTTTGAAAGTTCAATAGGACTAATTGTGTACTTTCATAAGTACATACCTCAAAATCATTTACTTTGCACTACTCTTTAAGTAATGTAATGCTTAGCTGCCAAAAGTACATCACATAACAGTTTTTATAGCCTTTCATTCTTATAAGTTAAGTCATTTTAAATTTTGCTCCATTTTTCTGTATAACTTTGGCATAAAGAATGTCATAAGGAAAAGCATGCCTTAATTTTATGAAATCCCCTAAATTAGTATAGGAAAAGGTCTGGCAAGATATTTTAATGTTCATCTAGGTTTCTGACATGTGATGTGTGAAAGGAAAAGGAAATAAGTGATATTTCTAAGGCTATTTTTGTTTATCAATAACTATTTCATAGAACATTTTAATGTTTTACAGGAGCAGAGAATGAAAATTGACAGAGAATTTGCTTTATGGCTGAAGGACTGTCATGAAAAGTATGACAAACAAATAAAATTTACACTTTTTAAAGGAGTAATTACCCGTCCAGATCTTCCCTCTAAAAAGCAAGGCCCCTGGGCAACATACTCAGCAATAGAGTGGGATGGAAAAATATACAAAGCAGGTCAACTGGTAGGTTCGGCTTATGTTCAAATTAAGTTCTTAGTAGAATCGCCAACTAGTTTAGGTGTATTAGAGTTTGTCAACTACAAAAATGCTTATGTTAGTTTCTATGGAACCTCTAAAGAATGAACAAGAAACCATTTTAATATACAATTTATGATGTCTTAAAAATCTTGTTTATTGCCAAAGGCTCCATGAGCAAAGTATTATTTCTTGCATTAACTTTACTCACTTGGAGTGACAATGTTGTATTAATGTGTTGTAAAGTAATTTTTGATGTTAGGTTTTTAGTTGTTGAACAATATTTTCTGATTTTAAATGTATTGTAAACATAGCAGAGATTGAAAGTGCTTTGATCTTAGAATATTGTAACCTAAAAATGGAAACAGTAAAAGCATAAGTAAAATGATAATTTGAATGAGAAGAGAATTGTAAGGAGAGGAGAGAATTTTCTGAAGTTGGATGATGTTAGGATTTGGAAGAAGAGAGCAAACCATAACATACTTTGGGTTAAAAAGTAGCATTTGGAGCTGGAGAGATGGCTCAGAGGTTAAGAGCACTGGCTGCTCTTCCAGAGGTCCTGAGTTCAATTCCCAGCAACCACATGATGGCTCACAACCATCAATAGTGAGATCTGGTGCCCTCTTCTGGCACACAGGCATACTGTACACATAATAAACAAACAAACAAACCTTAAAAAAAAAGTAAGCCGGGCGGTGGTGGCGCACGCCTGTAATCCCAGCACTCGGGAGGCAGAGCCAGGCGGATCTCCGTGAGTTCGAGGCCAGTCTGGTCTACAGAGCTAGTCCAGGACAGGCTCCAAAGCTACAGAGAAACCCTGTCTCGAAAAAACCAAAAAAAGTAGCATTTAAATTAACCTCAAGCAGAAGCTTGGATATACTCAACAGTTGCAAATTAGAAAGACGTGTCTTCCCTCCATGACTCTGAGGGGTGCCATCATATAATTAAAGCCCTAGAAGGAGCAAGCATGGCTAAAGAATCCGAGGCCTGGGGCGTTTATGACATTTATATCAGGACAGAAGGGAGCTTGGTGTCTAGACAGTAAGGATATCTAGTGCGATGAAGGGAACTAGGAGAACTAGAGTGTCAGGAAGCCAAAAAAGGAGTTGCAAGTCAGTTTGTCAACTGCTCCATGGACTTGAGTAAATGCTTTATGGATTATCTGAGCATGGACATACATAAATAATTAGTTCTGAAAAATAGGAAACATTAAGTTGGTTGGTTTTTTCTGCTACGACATGTACATATGAATCAAAATAATTTATAGTGGTTTTTGATTTATTTTAAATTTCTGAAGCTATTGATACTACCTTTTCAAGGGAAGACATGGATTTTTTTTTTTTTTTTTTTTTTTTTTTGGTTTTTCGAGACAGGGTTTCTCTGTGTAGCTTTGCGCCTTTCCAGGAACTCACTTGGTAGCCCAGGCTGGCCTCGAACTCACAGAGATCCGCCTGGCTCTGCCTCCCGAGTGCTGGGATTAAAGGCGTGCGCCACCACCGCCCGGCAAGACATGGATTTTTTTTTTTTTTTTTTTTTTTTTATTTTATTATGTATACAGTGTTCTGCCTGCATGTATCCCTTCAGGCCAGAAGAGGGAGCCAGATCTCATTACAGATGGTTGTGAGCCACCATGGGGTTGCTGGGAATTGAACTCAGGACCTCTGGAAGAATAGTCAGTGCTCTTAACCTCTGAGCCATCTCTCCAGCCCAAGACATGGATTTTGAATGACACAATGTGACTGTGTTGGACTGAGCAATCCAGTGCTCAACTCCAAGTGCCAGGGATTATAAATAGGCCCATCACACCTGACTCATAAACAAGTCTTGAGCTAATGTATTTGATGGGAATGTTAACTTGTCAAAGTCTAGAAACACATGCTTAACTATGACATATCTGAATGGAGAAGCTCCTGTCTTAACACAGATTTGCCAGCAATAAGTGCTAAGCCTCACACATCTTACTTGCTTCATTGGTTTGAAGTCATTGTTAATGAATGTTTTTCACATGCATAACAGTTGCATAAAGTAGTTATTAAACCTGTTTCCTCTTAGAAAATATTAATCTGAGTATTTATGCTAAATGTTAGGTCAAGACAATCAAGACACTTCCTCTCTTTTATGGAAGCATAGTAAGATTTTTCCTTTATGGTGATCATGATGGAGAAGTATATGCTACAGGAGGTGAAGTTCAGATTGCAATGGTAAGAAAGCAAGTGACTGATAGTCTCTTGGCACCATCTTTATGTAAATATGGCAATAAAGATAATGGTATTTGGAAATTGGCTTGCATTTTTTCCTGTTGAATGAAGTGATGTCAGCATAGTTTTCTGTTCCATATTTAATGTTTGTATGTTTTACATATATTTATATATTTTATTAGTATAATAGTGCTTTTATAAAAGGCAAATTTTCACTATGTTCACAGACGAGTAATATCACTGGACAGAATTCTGTTCTAAGAATAAGTATCCAAGATTAAAATGTTTTTTTCCCCTTAGCTTGTTTCTTGTTATTTGGATTTTATTAGGATTATGTAGATTAAATTAAAAAAATGAAAATAGTTACTAGAGGTAAAGTTGTAAAACTGATTCTCAGGTCTAAGAGTTGTCCTCCGACCTCAAACGTGTGCCCATGCACATACTCAATACACAGACACAATAATAATAATTTTTAAAGTTAGATTCTTAAGAGTGAAAATAGTTAAGTGTAAGAATAGTTACTCGCATTTGTATACTTAATTAGGATAAAATTGATGTCTTTGAAGGAAATACATGGATTGGTTTGTTTAGTAACTAAGCAACTTAATTTAAATTGTTATCTTTGTAATGTTGGTATAAATTCTTATTCAGGAACCCCAGGCGCTGTATGATGAAATAAAAACTGTACCCATTGCAAAGCTGGATAGGACAGTTGCTGAGAAAACAATTAAAAAATATGTAGAAGATGAAATGGCAAAGTAAGTCAAATTTCAAAAAACAAACAAATAAAATTAAGAATTGCGGTTGGGCACAGTGGCACCTGTGGGGGTGGAGGCAGGCGGATCTCTGTAGTTAAAGGGTAGCCTAGCCTACATGGCCAGTTCCAGGCCCGCCAGGCCTACATAATGATACCCTGTCTCAAAGGGGAGATATATATTTCAATATATAGTATATAGTGCAATATATAGTATAATTTTTGAATGTATAAAGTACAGTTTTGGATTCAAATAATGTGTTTTAATCCAAGAATTGTAGTGCTGTTCAGTATTCTCACATGTGTTATGTGCCTTGAGGTGAACTCTTTGACATTAAATATTGAGAGTTGTAGTTAGATGGGAACATTAGAAAAAGAAATCTTATCTAAAGTGTCACATTTATTTATACCTTAACATGGGCATTTAAAGGAAATCATTTGGCGTGGCTTACAGCTAGAGGAAACTAGCACTTTCTAAGAAATAAAGAGCACTAAAAAAGAAATAGCCAATAAGGAAGAAGCAGTGTCCCCAGGACACTGAAGTGGGGCCATTGAGGACCAGTCTGAGCTATGCTGTTTGTTCTAGGACAGCATGTACTAATGTAGAGGGGGTCCTACCACCATCACTTTAAAATTAAACAAAAAAGGAAAGAAAATGAAATAGATGACATTTCTATTTTTGGATCAAGCTAATGATGTTATTTTGTCTTTAAAGGGTATACATGTACTATAAATAGAAAAATCACATCTAAGTGTTAATATCAAGATAGATTTTTATCTTGGCTTTTTATTAGACATAGTGGGATTAGGTTTAACTTTTCAAAATGTATCAATAGTACCTATCTGCTAATTTTCATATTTCTAATTAACTAAATTCACAAAACATTAATATGCTGGTTTTATAATAGGCTCCCTGATAGATTGTCTGTAACTTGGCCTGAAGGAGATGAATTATTGCCAAATGAAGTTAGGCCTGCCGGAACCCCAATTGGTACGTTTTCTAATGTTCCCTCTGTTGGTTTTGTCTTTCTTATAAAAAATTTTTGTCTACTTCTAATATATAGAAAACTATAGAATATTGAAATGTAACATGAAGATCTTCCGGACTGTTGATGGGTAATTGTGATAGCCTTTCTTTTCACTTTGGGCATTCCTGCAGGTGCACTAAGGATCGAAATACTAAACAAGAAGGGGGAAGCTATGCAGAAGCTCCCAGGGACAAGTCACGGAGGATCAAAGAAGCTGCTGGTGGAACTTAAAGTTATACTGCACAGTAAGAGTGTAGATCAGTTTGGGCCTTGAGTGACTGGATGAGAGAGATTGAATGGCTCTAATTTTTGATGACTTGAATCTGGTTAATACAGCAGATTTGGTTAAAGTTAGAAAATAGAAATTAAGGTGCATTCTTCCAAAAGGTCATGTAGGGCAACTCAACTGAGGAATAGTTGAGTGCCCAAAATTCAGGGAATAGGAGTTTTTTGTGGCTCGAGAAGAGGAATCTAATCTGCAAATGCCTATGAGTTGTTCTAGGAATTTGGAGGACATTTCCAGGAATTGGGAAAGGAGAAATGATTTGATCAAATCATACCTAGGACTTTGGCAGGGGCCGACAGATCTCTGTGAGTTTGAGGCCAGCCAGCTCTACAGAGCAAGTTCCAAGACAGCCAGGGCTACTCAGAGAAACCAAAAACAAAACCAAAAACCAAAACAAAAAACTGAAAAACCTAGGACTTTTAGAGCCGAAGTCATATTTGGAGGGAGGCGACTGCATGAAACCACAACTAGTGTGCAGCTTGTGGGTAGCCACCCTGCAGAGCCCAGCTAACTCTGCTGTAGTGAAGGGTCAACTTCCACAGCACTGCTGGGCCATTCTAAGGTCAGTACATCTATGTTATATGAGGTCTTTCAGTATGCTCGGCATAATTTAAAGTACATAGACAGCCCCTTATGGTTGTTTATTCTGGTAATCTCAGCATTGGGGAGGCTGATGCAGATGAATTATTGCAGGTTTGAGGCCACCCTGGCCTATATAGTGAGTCCCAGGCCAGCCTGGGCTACATTTTTTTTTTTTAAAGGTTTATTTATTTATTATGTATACAGTGTTCTGCCTGCAATCCGGAAGAGGGCGCCAGATCTCATTACAGATGGTTGTGAGCCACCATGTGGTTGCTGGGAATTGAACTCAGGACCTCTGGAAGAGCAGCCAGTGCTCTTAACCGCTGAGCCATTTCTATAGCCCTGAGCTACATTTTGATACCTGTCTAAAAACAAAACAAAGCCATCCAAAAGAATAAAACTTATATGGAAAACCTTGTAACAGTTTCATTATGTTCTTTGCTTGCTTGAGTTATTGCAAATTTTTTTTTTTAATTCTTAAATTTAGTCAACAGATATTTTGCTGGTAATTTTTACATCTATGTCCTTTAGGGAGATTGATCTATACTATTTTTCTGTTTGTCTTTTCCCAGTTTTGGAATCAGAGAAATATTGGCTTTATAAACAGTTTGGTAGTTTGCCTTCCTTTCTTGACATATAGAATAATTTGAGAAGCACTGATGTTAGTTCTTCTTTCAAAGTCTGGTAGAATTCATCTCTGGATCTATCTGAGCCTGGACTTATCAATCTGAAATTCTTTTCTACCCTTTAAAGTCAAGATTCAGGTTACAGGGTCAGGCATGGTAATACATGTTTTTGAGGCAGATGGACTTCTGTGAGGTAAGGACATCTGGCCAGAAAGGGCTATAGTTAAGACTCTGGCTCAAACAACAACAAAAGATCCAAACTATAACTGAGTAGAAATCTCCAAAGAGAGCTTCTTGGACTACACAACCAGCTACAGCAAGTTATGTATCTCACTGCCAATAAGAAAAGGAACCAGGAGACTGAATCAGGCCAAGGATCAAGAATGTGTGAGATTCTAGGGTATCCCCTATTAGAAAATTTGCATCTAATAATAAAAGATATCCATCAATATGGGATAAACATGAAGGTGCTTGCCAAAGGAAAATAAAAACAAAAACCAATTGTGTTAAAAAGATCAAATTCCATACTCTTCCTTCCCCTTCACTGAACATTATTACAGAGCACTAATCAACTGTAACTTGAAATTTAGAAATACAACAACAACAACAAAAAATGAATCAAGCCTAGCCTGAATACTGCCTTTCACATGACATTTAAATACTATATTAGGAAGAATGTCTTACTTTGGAGGTACTGCCTTCTAGTCCATCACTTTACCCTCCAAGTGAAAGCATTGTAATGAGCTAAATAAACTTTCATTGTTTTTGCTCATTTGTATAAGATAATAATATATAGTTTGAAGCTTCAAAGCAGTATTATAAATTGTATAGCAAATAAAGATAACTGTATTTGATGCTATTTCGACACCTCATTTTATTTTACACACAGTTTCTTTGTTTTGTTTTTTTGTTTGTTTGTTTGTTTGTTTTCGAGACAGGGTTTCTCTGTGTAGTTTTGGTGCCTGTCCTGGATCTCGCTCTGTAGACCAGGCTGGCCTCGAACTCAGAGATCTGCCTGGCTCTGCCTCCCGAGTGCTGGAATTAAAGACGTGTGCCACCACCACCCAGATCTATCTATACTCAGTTTCTTAAGGCAGTTTTTCTTTTTATTAAGCTTCAAGTGGAAATAAAGAAATCATTTCACATATCAGTCAACATGGAGGAAAATGGCCTTACTGGTTTAAAAAAATGGGTGAGTTACTCTTATTTTTGTTTATTTTTTAGGTTTCAAATTTTTATTTTATGTGTATGAGTGTTTTGCCTGCATGTATGTATGTATGTATATATACAGTGTGCTTGCCTAGTGCCTATGGAAACCAGAAGGTAGCACCAAGTTCCCCAAGACTGAAGTTATGGATGGCTATGAACCAAACCTGGTCCTTCTGCAAGAGCAACAAGTGATGTTAACTGCTGAGCCTTCCCTCCAGTCTTTACTATGCTTGCCTACCAGGGTTGACCCCTAGGATTGATCCCCATCCCCACTGTAAACAACCCACATCCATGCATGGTGGTTCATATCTGTTGTAGCTACTCAGCTAGCTCAGCAGGGAGAACCACTGGAGTGTACTGGTTCAAGAACAGGCTGGACAGTCTTGTGAAATCCCCATTTCCCCTGAAAAGAAGATCACATATAAATCAATTTCTGTTGACATGGTGTTTAATCTCTTCTTAATTTATCCAGAAAATATCCAGAAACTGGGTAATTATACATTGAAATTACAAGTGGTATTGAATGAAAGTAATGCAGATACCTATGCAGGAAGATCACTACCATCTAAAGCAATAAAATTTTCTGTTAAAGGTAAGCAAAACACTATTGTATAATTCCATCTGCTGATAGTGCCATTTTAAATTGGGAATTTATATAATTCAATAAAAGATACATAATTGAGTAAACATCTTGATTTTTAAATGACTGTAAAAGTAATTAATCGTTCGTGTTCGTTCTTAATTCTGAAGATGTCATTTAAAAAATGTATTTAGTTAGTTTTACACTTTGCATAGTCTACAGCTATTCTGATTCTTAACCCTTTGGGTGATTTCAGATGTTGGGGGATTTTCTCCCTCAGTTTTATAATTATAGGATCATTGTCATCAGCTTCTGTGTAGTCAGCCTTTTTAGTTTTGAAACATTCTATTTTCTAGGCATTTTTCTTGAAATACTTGATTTTTTTTTTAGTTTTTTGTGTTTTTTTTAATAATATCTAATATGAAAGTACTGTGTCCCCAGACATGTACACTAATTAATTTTTTTCTCCTTTACACCTTCTGCTTTTATTTATTTTACTTGAGATTACTTTAACATTCTCGAATTTATATTAAATTTTCCCATCTTGCTATATCATTCCTTGTTATTCCCTTTTTAAAGCATTGTATTCCCACTTCATGGATTGGATATCTTCGCTCTCTAGGGCTTTTTCTTGATAGTGCTTTTCCTTATTCATAGTATGTCTCACACTTGCTGGGTTGTATGCTTGCTTGTTTGCTGTGTTTACCTTACATGACATATTTGCTTACATTACAAAATAAAATACATAAAAACATGCTTTATTTCAATTATGAGAATTTTCAGGTCTTTGAGTTTTGGCTATTGAGAGTCTCGAGTGGAACCTTCCAGTCTTCTGCTAGGGAAGGTTACTGTCTGGCACCCATTGTACAGAAAGTCAGGCTGGGTATAACAGCTGAAAGGGGAGAGGTCTGACTTTTTATATATATAATCCTTCAGTTGGTTTTCCAGTTTTCAATAAACTCTTCATCCTTTCCTAGTGCTGTGTCTCTCATTCCTTAGACCTACCTCTTTTCTTCTTTGAGGATGAGGAAGACATGACTGTTCTCTGTGTTGAGGATGAGGAGACATGACTGTTCTCTGTGTTGAGGATGAGGAGACATGACTGTTCTCTGTGTTGAGGATGAGGAGACATGACTGTTCTCTGTGTTGAGGATGAGGAGACATGACTGTTCTCTGTGTTGAGGATGAGGAGACATGACTGTTCTCTGTGTTGAGGATGAGGAGACATGACTGTTCTCTGTGTTGAGGATGAGGAGACATGACTGTTCTCTGTGTTGAGGATGAGGAGACATGACTGTTCTCTGTGTTGAGGAATGGTGATTTTGGGAACTGAAGCCAATTTCAACTATTTTTCTAGTTGTGTTCCAGTTTCATAACAGCTTGAATATACTGTAGTATGATTTACTTTGGGCATTAAGGATTTGATACTCTTAGCTTCCTACGTTTGCCCATGTGTAACGTATTAGTCTACTTTTTTTGTTTGTTGGTTGGTTGTTTTGTAGAGTTAGGTCTCCTAAATATCTGTAGTATCATAATGGTCTTTTGGGGGTTCTTTTTGTTTTTTGGAGAAGTTGGAGCTGCATGCCTTTTTTAATCAGAAGGACCTCTAGAAGATTTCATGTATCTGTACACTATATTTGTGTCTAGTGCCCATATAGGGCAGAAGAAACCTGAATCCCTAGATCTGGAGTTCCAGATGGTTGTGAGCTGCCATGTGGGTGCTGAGAATTAAATCTGGGTCCTCCACCAGTGCTTTTAACCACTGAGCTTTCGCTCCATCCCCAAGGTTTTATTTCATAAAATTATTTTTTGTTCTACAAATGTACTTCATGGTATAGATTTGTTATATTTTAGTTTCCTGTTGAAACATTTATGTTGTTCCAGTTTTTTTTTTACTAAAAAACGTAAGCTGTTTTTGTTGTTGTTGTTGTTTAAATATGCTAGTTTCTCTAGGATTGATACCAAGAAATCTCAAAAACTATGTGCAGAACACTCAGCAGTAGACTTAGAATTCATTTCCCACAAGCCTATTCCATATAACCTCAACATTTACATAGTAAAATGAGTGGTTAGGCATTTTCTCTAACTTTTAAAGTGTGTGCTGCTTCTAGTCCATGTGTGTCGTCTGAAAGCCTGTTCATTTCAGTGCTTGTTTTATTAGTTTGAAGTTGTGCTTTACTTGAGTTGGTAACTGAACTACCTTGAAGGACTTATTAAAGCACAGTCTGCTGAGTGTCACTCTCAGAATATCTTCATGCATGTTTGTTTGTACTAGGGATTGGACCTAGGGCCTCATGTGTGGTAGACAAGCCCTCACCAGAGCAATATCCCCGTCATTTTCATTTTTAGACAGGATCTCAATAAGGCACCTAGGCTAGCCTAGAACTTTCTCTGTAGCTCAGGCAACTTCCTGAATATCTCTGTCAGTGGCATGGCTATTCACAGAGTTTCTGATTGGGCATATTTAAGGGTGGACTCTTAAGTTTCATTTCCAGTAAATTCCAAGGGATAGTCAAAATTAGTAGATTAGAGATCACACTTTGAGAAAAGATGGTTCATGGATAGAGTGTAAGCTCAGCTGGAGCATATACAAGGCCGAATTAGTTCCTGACACTGTATGCACATGAGTACACAGGAACATGTGTAAATAAATAGATCATTCTTTCCTTGGCTTTTAGTTCCTTATTGCATGTGTTACAGTTAGTTTCACATATATCCCTTGTTGTAAGCTCATCAAATCCATTTTTAGTTTTTGAGAACTTAGAAGTTCTTAATTAAGGGCATAATCATTCTTCATTATATTCTAATAATTTGAGAGCTTAGAAACAATTTGAAGTTTGGCGTGATGGTATACACCTATAATCTCCCCCTTAGAAGTTAGATTGGAGGATCGGCTGGGCGGTGGTGGCGCAAGCCTTTAATCCCAGCACTTGGGAGGCAGAAGCAGGCGGATCTCTGTGAGTTTAAGGCCAGCCTGGGCTACAAAGCGAGTTCCAGGAAAGGCGCAAAGCTACACAGAGAAGCCCTGTCTTAAAAATCAAAAAAAAAAAAAAAAGAAAGAAAGAAAGATTGGAGGATCGTCACAAGTCTAATGACGGCGTGGTGTGCCCAGCCTACATAGTGAGACTGTTTCAGTAAGTGTAATAAGAGTAAAAGGAAGTAAAAGAAACACTTTGATGTCTACCCCTTGAATTTTCTTTTACATGTGGTGTGAGATAAAGTTCTATACTTATTTGCACTTGCTGGTTGTTGGCAATAGTTAAATCTTGGCACAGATTCTTTTTGTAAGTTTTTGTTTTATTTTTAATTATATTCAGTGTGTGGGTATGTGTACAAGTGCCCGCAGAGGCCAGAGGAAGGCCTCCAATATCCTGGGGCTGTAGTTCCAGGCACTGTGAGTCACTTGACAAGAGCGCTGGGAACCAGACTCAGTCTTCTGCGAGAGCCATCTTCCCAGTCCTTGCACAGATTTCAAATGCCATCTACATTGTAGTTGTAATTGCCAGGATATGTATGGGTCTACTTCTGACCTCCAGTAAGTTTTCTTCATAATTTATTTTCTCTTTTGTTTTTGTTAAAGAGGGCAAGCCAGAGAAGTTTTCATTCGGTCTTCTTGATTCCCCTTTTCGTGTTGGAGTTCCATTCAATATTCCTTTGGAGTTACAGGATGAATTCGGTCACACTACCCAACTATTATCTGATATTCAACCAGTTCTTGAAGCAAGGTAATTGAAGGACTTATTTGTATTTGTCTTTTTGTGTTTGCTAAGTCTTTACTCTTTTTTGTGTAAATTATATAAGGTTAGCATTTGTATTAATGTTTTAAATGAATTTTATAATTCCTAATGTATTTGGCTTCAGGCCATCCTCTGTGGCTACAATATCATGTGTAAATTACTTCACAGAAGCTTATTTACTAAATTTACTGCTGAAGTCATTGGAGATGTACTTCATTTTCTTTTTACAAGTATGGTGTGTTGTCCCGTGGCAATTCTGTTAGTTGCTGTTGTTTTTAAGTTCATGTTAGGGGGATTTCTTTTTTTTTTCTTCTTCTTTTTTTTTTTTTTTTTTTTTTTCAAGACAGGGTTTCTCTGTGTAGCTTTGCGCCTTTCCTGGAACTCATTCTGTAGCCCAGGCTGGCCTCGAATTCACAGAGATCCACATGGCTCTGCCTCCCGAGTGCTGGGATTAAAGAAATCTGCTTCATTACTGAGTCATCTCTCAGGGTAACTTAAAATGATCAGTGTGGACCTTCAAGGTGGCTTAGTGGATAAGGATTCTTGCCACCAAGCCTAAAGGTGTACGTTAATCACTGGGATGCACATGGTAGAAGGAGATAGATTCTGACCTTCACACATACACACCATGATTTGCATACACACCATGGACTACAAGTGTACACACATACACACTATAAATAAATTTTAAATTGTGCTTTTTTTTCCCCATCTTCATCTCTTTGTGTAGAATGAGCCTAGGTGTTTTGTTCATTGGAACACTTTGTTGGGATGAGTTAAAATGAAATAGTGTTACTTGATTGTAAAATCAAAGACTGTTAAGATCTTTATGTTATCATTTTAAATCTGTCTATTCAGAAAATACCTGTAAACAATTCTATGCTTGAGAAAAATGGGCTTTTTTTTTTTACCTTATGATGTTCTTTGTACCATTTTCTCTTGGATAGCTAACCTAGGTATCACTTGCACATAGCAGTAGAAAAGGTACTTAGCATATACTCTACCAAGCTTACAGCGACATGAAAGCCACTTGGTTATTTGGACTTCTCTGATGCCATTCTGCTGACTAGGTAGTAGAAGCTGCCTAAAATTTTACTGAGTGCAAGATTTTAAGGGATCCATAGAAAAGACTGAGGAAACCATGAGTTTACCATGTGAACCTGGTGTACTTGAGTATTTCTTTTGTTAGGGGTGTATTGTGGTCTACCTTTGTATTCTTTCTTTCTTATTGTATCAGCAGTGAGAGTCTGGAGTGATAAAATAGTCAAGGTGTGCCTGTTGATATTCTCACCAAGTCACACTTTTGTGAACAAGCCTAATGAAAGTAAGCTAAGGCAGATTCCAGGGGTGGTTGTGCGTAGGGTTTCTAGTATAGGGTACATTTCTTGCTTGTATCTGCCCCTTTTATAGTTTTGTTTTTTGAGTTTTTTTTTTTTTTTTTGGTTGTTGTTGTTCTTAAATACTGTCAAGGTATTTACAGATGCATAACGGAAAAGCCAGTCCTCCAAGACTAGTGCTATGGAATTATCAGCAGTTAGCCCAGTGGTTGTACAGTGGCAGGTGTGCTGTTATGTCAGACATATGTTGGGCATATAGCTTGCCTTATTCCTTGTGTCTTGATCAACTCAACATGTGTGGTTTCTTTATTTTATGACAACCTGTCATATTATTTTCAGTGTTTGCACCATTAGTATCACTTATACTTGCTTGGTCATATTTTTTTCCACCATAGAATTTTTTGGAGCTCTATAGAGTAGCACACATCTGTAATCTCAGTACTGGGGAGACTGGGGGGGGTTATGAATTTGAAGCAAACTTGGCTGTATAGGGAATCCCTGATTCAAGGGGGAAAAGACAATTTTTTAGGAATTTTCTTTTCTTTCTTTCTTTTTTGGTTTTTTGAGACATGGTTTCTCTGTGTAGCTTTGGAGCCTTTCCTGGAACTCTGTAGACCAGGCTGGCCTCGAACTCACAGAGATCGGCCTGGCTCTGCCTCCTGAGTGCTGGGATTAAAGGTGTGTGCCACCACCGCCTGGCTTTCTCTTTATTTCTTATTTAAATTAAATTAGAAATTTTATTAGAAAGATGAATTAAACATGCCAGTAGCGTATTTGCAATCTTATTTGTAGATAATGCAGGGAAATTTAAAAATAATCTGTTTTTTTCCAGTGGTCTGTCTTTACATTATGAAGAAATAACCAAAGGCCCAAATTGTGTAATTCAAGGTGTCGTAGCTAAGGGTCCAGTTAACTCTTGTCAAGGCAAGGTAAGCATTATACATAAATTTTATAATATTTATTATTTGTTTCCTATTATGTTAAATTGGAAATTTAATGTTAAATGACCTGGGTTTATTTTTTGTTTTGTATTTTGTAACGAAGATCACATTAATTCTGACTTGTTAGGAATTCATCAGTGCTATGTTACCTGACTCACAAGTTAGAGTGGTGTGAAAATCTTGCACTTTTATTACTGTAGTGATTTCAGCATCCTTGAGTTAAATGTTTTCTAGCTGTCTCTATCTTAGTTCAGAAACATTTATTCAACATTTCTCTGGTAATATTCCACTTTTTCCTCCTCTTCTTTTATTTTTCTCAGACCAGAAACCACAATTTCAAATCAGTGAAACTGTAGCTGACTAGTTTAATATGTTTTGAGAATTAATAAAGGGAAGTATTCAGTAAGAGATATATATGGTTAAAAAAGATACAAATATTTCCCTATCAATATTATGTTTAAGATTGAGCTTCCTGGGGCCTGGGTCTATGTTAGAGTGCTTGGAAGGCCCTGGGTTTAACCTCCCAGTACCAGCCCAAAGAAGAGAGAATGAACATGTACTTTCTTCAGATATTTCAGGTGGAATAGCCCTGATCTGAAATGTTTTGAGTGTTGATATGATACCACTGGTAAAAAATTCTACACCTGACCCTATTTGATAAATGTCAGTCAAAATGGGCACACCAGAATTACTGTACAAAAATGTATTGAAGGTGATGTATTTTAAGCTGAAAAGTAGATGAATTTCATGTTTAGACTTGCTTCATTCCGCAGATAGCTTTGTTTTTACAGATATTCTAAAATTCAAAATACTTCTAGTTCAAAATATTTTTATTTTATTGTGTGTATGGATGTTTTATCTGAATGTAAGTCTGTGTACCATGTGCATGCCTGGTGCCTGAGGTATCCATAAGAAGATATCGGGTCCCCTGAAAACTGGAGTTAACAGTTGTGAGCTACCATGTGGGTGCTGGAAATCAAGCCCAGGTCCTCTAGAAGAGCAGCCAGTGCTCTTAACCATCTCTCTAGCCCTGTAATAGAAAAACATTTTAATAGGTGTTACTTAACTTACATACTACTGCGTCATATTATCAAATGATGTTTAACATCAGGTTTTATACACCTTTCTCAATTGAGACTTTCCTGAAATAATTTGAGATTTGTGTCAAATTTTTAATGTTAAGTGGAGCCAGGCAGTGGTGGCGCACGCCTTTAATCCCAGCACTCGGGAGGCAGAGGCAGGCGGATCTCTGAGTTCGAGGCCAGCCTGGGCTACCAAGTGAGTCCCAGGAAAGGCGCAAAGCTACACAGAGAAACCCTGTCTCAAAAAAAAAAAAAAAAAAAAAAAAAAAATGTTAAGTGGACTTAAAATTATTTCTAGATTTTTAAAAGAACTTTAAATTTATAGAGGAGTTCAGAGATAATAAGAGCTTACAGAGTTTCTGTGTTAATATCTCAGAACCATATACATATATTTATACACACTAATAAACATTAAGACAGGACTAATAAGAAAACCAGACTTTATTTAGATGTCTCCAGTTACCATTACCTTTCTGTTCAAAATCCAGTCCAGAATATTGCATTCCATTCAGAAGTTTCTAGATTGAGTTTTTAAATTAATTTTAAAAATTGAAATGTAATTACATCATTTTCCTCCTTTCAGTCCTTCCCATGTATCCACTTCCTGCTCTCTCAGATTCTTGGCCGTGTGTGTGTGTGTGTGTGTGTGTGTGTGTGTGTGTGTGTTCGTTCTGCTTAGTCTCCATATTGTTCCTTGTATGTATATGTTTTCAGGCTGACCATTTGGTGTTGGATAACCAAATTGGGGCGTTTTTTTCCTGGGGAAGACTCTTTCTCCTGCTCTCAGCTCCTTGGTTGCCTCCAGTTCTTTGTCTGGGTTTGCAGTTCCATGGCATTGCCTCCTTCCATGCTCGCTTGTCTGTTGTTTTCGTCCTGATTCAAGTCTTATTTAGGCAGCCTTGTTATTTGAGACTTAGTTGGTATAGCTTCTCTGACATTTCTAGGAGATGTAGTCTCACAGAAGACTTCCTGTTCCTCCCACTCTTAGAATCTTTATGTCCCCTCTTCCTTGGTATGCCCTAAGCCTTGGGTGCAGGAATTATCTAGATGATGTAGCTGTTGGGGCTGGTCCCCAGAGGATCTCTTGTTCTGTGCATTTCAGTTGGTTTTGGTTTTCTGTAATCATCTCTGATGATGTCAGAGAGATTTTTTTTTGATGTGGGGGTGAGGGCCTACACTTAGCTGTAGGTATAAGGATACATATTTAGAGTGTTGTTAGGAATTAGTACTGGCTAAGTAAAGTGGTGGTTGTAGGTTTTCCAAGATCCATGGGCTCACTAGCTTTGAATAGTTGACTAGGTTTCCAATACCAGGCATGATTTCTGTTTTGTTGAATAAGACATAAGTCCAGTTAAAAAGCTGTTGGTTACCACCAAGATATGCATGCCACTATTGGACCTTTAGGGTCACTGTGCCGTGATGATCATTGTTGTGGATCATAGGCCTCATGGCTGCTTCCCTCTCCCAGAAACCTGCACGGCACCTTCTGATACCATGAAATCTAGTCTTCTAGGGAGGAAGCTTTCGGATCAGATCCAGCTCTATGTTGTAAGTGCATGATGTCTTCATGGATTTACCTTCAACTTCTAGTGATGCAACCAAGGGCAACAGCAATAGCCTAAAGTGCTTTGGAAGTCTCTTGGACTGCCCTGACCAACACTTGAAAGGAAGTGTCTCATGCCTGGTATTGATGTGTTTTTTGTTAGTTTATGTATGCTCTTGGGGGAGACTTTGTCAGCCCAGGTGTGAACGATTTAAACTGTTAGTATATTTACACACGTATTTATATGTATTATATGTAATTTTAAATAAAAAGATGATAATGAGAACTCTTTTCAGACATTCTTACTGTTACTGTACCTTCGTCCCTTCTCTCCTCCTTTATTGACCCTCCTCAGTAACATCCCTCCTCCACAATTTTTTTTAATTTCACCCTTCCAAGTCACCGGTACCCTGCTATTCCTCTCTATTGCATGCTCCCCATTATACCTTCCTATTTTACTGGTTTCTGTCATTATTCTTAGCTATGTACTCACATCTAAAGATTGGGAACTAGGAGTCTCAGATGAGAGAAAACATGACTTTGTTTTTCTGAGTCTGGGTTACTATATTCAACATAATCCTTTTTAATTACATTCATTTACCTGAAAATTTCATGATTTCATTTTTCTTTATATCTGCATAGTGTTCCATATTGTATATATACCACACTTTTATTATCCATTCATCAGTTGAACATTTAGACTGTTTCTGTTTCCTAACTCTTGTAAATAGAACAGCAATGTACATGACTGAGTAAGTATTTGTGGAGTATGATGTTGAGTCCTTTGGGCATATGCACAGGAGCAGTATACCTGGGTCATAGGGAAAATTTATTTTTAGCTTTTTGAGGATTCTTCCCACTGATTTCCAGGGTAGATGGACCAACTGCAATCCCAACGGTAAATGAAAGTTTCCTTTTCTCCACATCCCTTCCAGCCTTTGTTGTTATAGGTTGTTCCATTGATCTTTGTGATTTTGACTGAGATAAAATGAAATCTCAGGGTTGTTTTGATTTACATTTTCCTCATTGCTAGGGATAGTGAACATTATCTAATAATTCTTAGCCAATTTAATTTCTTCTTTTGAGAGCTCTGTTCAGATCCTCTCCCATCTTTTAAATGGATCTTTTACTTAGATCTCTTTAGTTACTGTTACCTTTCTGTTCAGAGTTCAATCCGGTTTTTCTTTCCCTCGTACTCCTTGATTGTTTCACTTAAAATATATTTTTATTTTTTTGTGTTATGACTGTTTTGCTTACATGTATGTGTGTGCACCCCATGGGTTCCTGGTGCCTGGAGTCCAGAAGACCTAATTGGATCCCCTGGAACTGGAGTTATAGGTGATTGTAGCCACCCTATGGATGCTGAGAACTGAACTTGGGTCCCTTGCAAGAGGAGAAAGTGCTGTACACCACTGAGCTGTCTTTATACCTCTGTTTTACCTTTTAAAAAATATCCTTATTCTGATAATTACCTGATAATTATTCAGATAAACACGATTTGAGTTTGAGGAAAGTTTTGTTCTTTTTTTCTCCTGGGATTCTTAAATATTTGTAATAATTTTTCTAAGTAAAATTATGAGTACATTTATATAATGATAAGATAAAAATCAAACACAAATCAGAATTGAAATGGTAAGCTACTTATTTAAAACCTGGGTTTAATTTTTGCTGTCTTTTTTCAACAGAATTTTAATCTGAAGGTTGTTCTTCCGGGTTTAAAAGAAGATTCACAGATTTTGAAAATTAGATTGCTACCTGGTAATACTATTTTAAACAATATTTGAAATAGTTACTTTTAAAATATTCTTAGGTTACTGTAGTGGTGAATGGCCAGAATATAGAACGTTGAGGCAGTAAAGACAACAATTGCGTACATGGGGGTGGCATATGCCCTTGGATGCTGTGCCTGCAGCCGTCAGGGATGACAGATCCCCCAGGAACAGTTGTAAATATTCTTAACCACTAAACCATTTCTCCAGCCCTAAAGGATTGCTCACAGTCCTCCTGCCTCAACCTCCCAAGTGATAAGTTACAGGCATGTAACACCATAGCTGGTTTATGTGGTGTGGTGCAGGGATTGAACTCAGGACTGCATTCTAGGCAAGTAGACTTATCAATGGAGCTCCATCCCCAGCTCCAGTATAAATCTTAAAAATACATTTAGAGTTGCTTAATGTAGCTCAATCTTGGGGAAATATTTTAAGTACTATGTATTAGGAAACATCTAGAGATAAGTTTATTAGACTTAGGGAAAAACTGCTGTATTAGTCTTACTGGTTTTACTTTCATATTTTAAGAATTATAGGTCCTTATTGATTTGATAAGGATTTATTTTGGGAAAATGAAATGGTATTCAAGTTACATAGGGTGGAATGTGCCTTTTAATTTAAGGGATAGCCTGTTGTAAGGATCTAAGAAGTATATTTTAGAATCAGACCATTTGGGTTTCAGTATAGTATAGTCTGGCTGCTTTTGCAAAGAATCATGAGAATGTTTTCTGTTCTCATAGGGTTGTAGCAGTAAAATGAGTTAATATGTAGTCTTCACTCTGCATGATCATGCAGTTGTTGAATAGAGAACAAAGTACTAGTTGCACATGAGCTTTCTTTAACACTGTCCTTTGCAAAGTGAGATCTGCCAGTAAGGTTATGCTTATTGAGTGTTTTACACTTGATCCTAGACTTAATGCCAAGGAACAATTGGCATGCAAATTTAGAAACCTTGATTATAACACTTGGTCCATAAGCGATCGTTTGTACTAGATTTCAGCAGAAGGAAACAATAGCTTATTTGCATTCACAAATTGAAGTTCTTGGAGGTTTTACCTAGGCATACACTGATAAGTGAAAATTGGTGCTAATGAGGAAAAAAATGTTCATTTATAGTAATAAATATGTATGCCTTTAGAAGTAAGCTAAGCCAAATAGAAATGACTTATAGAAATCTTATTACTTAGGTACATTTTTTTGGTGGTTTTTATTTTGATAGAAATGACAAAGTAGGAAATAGCACAATGTTGTGGTAAAAGGCAAGAAACCAGGACTTAAACTTGACTTTGCCACTTACTGACCTTGGGTCCATCTCTTTGTATTAAATATTTTCTTTATGTAGTCCCTTGATTAAATATTTTCTGGTGTTTGTAGATGCTTCCATTCTTATAAAATGGAGGTGATAGGACCTTGTGTTCTGTATGATGAGCATAGTAGTGCTTACTTAAAACATGACATAGTAGTTGGCAGATACTAAATATTCATATTAACCATTAAAGTAAGTGTGTCTAATAATTGTTTTATATACTTTCATTATCAGTATTTAGCATAAATTGAATTTTAAAGTATTAAGGATTGTGGGGCATATAGTTAGTTTTTTCTAGAAGTATAGATCCATTTTTTTAATCTTATAGGGAATGTATGATATAACTTGCTTGTGATATCAAAGACAGTGAGCAGTATACTTACCTGTTTATGTAGTTACACAATCACCAGGGCTTAATTTGTTTATTTCATAGCCCATGCTGGTCTGCAGCTCTCAGATGCTGGGATTGCAGGATTGTACTACTAAGTTTGACCTGAACTCAGCATGTTATTACTTGTGCTGGATCCAGCAGTCATTCATTGTGTAAAGCTAAAGATGATAAATAAACAGTATTTTGATAAACTACTTTTGCTTCTTGAATACTTTGCCTCCCAGATGTTTTTAAGGTTTTTCAGGACTGTTTAGGTCATTTCTAGCATGAATTAATCAGTGTGCTCTAGCTTATATAAGACTAAATCTAGACATTAAACTGTTTTTGTTTTTGTTTTGTTTTTCAAGATAGGCTTTCTCTGTGTAGCCCTAGCTATTCTTGAACTCTGTAGACCAGACCAGACTGGCCTCAAACTCAGATATCTGCCTGCCTTTGCCTCCTGAGTGCTGGGATTAAAGGTGTGTACCACCAGTGCCCCAAAACATCAAGCATTTAGCTGTGTTACTAAGACAACTCCATCATGTACACAAACTACATTTGGAAGATAGAATTTATCAAGTTCTGTATTCTTTTTTTCTTTTCTTTCTTGCATCACTCATAAATATTAAATACAAAATGCTAATTTTAGTCTATTTAATCTATTGAATATGTACTTTATTATGAATCTCCTGATAGGTCCTCCTCATCGACTAAAAGTGAAACCTGACTCGGAAATTCTGGTTATAGAGAATGGAACAGCCTTCCCATTTCAGGTGGAAGTTGTGGATGAGTCAGACAACATAACAGCACAACCAAAGCTGATTGTCCACTGTAAGGTAAGCTCACTGTGATGCATTGTGATGTGCAGCTAGGACACTTCTGTTGTTAGTGAATGGCAAGGACTGTCTTTTTGCTGTTTCAAAGTTAAGCCTTAAATAGTAAGTTTTTGTATTGTTTTGTTTTTAAATTCTGCAAGTTACAACATTTAATGAAACCAAAGGAAGTAAATCAGACTGTCTTTTTGCCCTCTTTTTTTTTTTAATCATTTTTTGTTTTGGTTTGTTTTTTTGTTTGTTTTGTTTTGTTTACAAGACTGGGTTTCTCTACATAGCCCTCGCTATCCTGGAACTTACTTGCTCTGTAGACCAGGCTGACAGATACCCTCATGTCTCTTCCCACCCCACCCCCCAGGTGCTGGGATTAAATGCTTGTACCACCACCGCCTGGCTTAAATAAATTCTTTTTTTTTTTTTTTTTTTTTTTGGTTTTTCGAGACAGGGTTTCTCTGTAGTTTTGCGCCTTTCCTGGAACTCACTTTGTAGACCAGGCTGGCCTCGAACTCACAGAGATCCGCCTGACTCTGCCTCCCGAGTGCTGGGATTAAAGGCGTGCGCCACCACCGCCCGGCTTAAATAAATTCTTAATGATTATTCCATGGAAAATTTCTTAGACCCTTTCCTTATCAAAAGTTTTTCAATAACACAAAGCTCAGTGAACACACCAGCTCTTCCCAGTTGTGTTTCTTTCCTTCATTTCTTTTTTTCATTTTCTTTTCGGGAACTGAATTTTAAGGCCTTATTTATACTAATCGAATGTTTTATCATTAAGCTATAGCTTCATACCTCTTGATTTTTTTATTTTGAGACAGGATTTCATAAAATAGTTCAAGCTGGCCTTAAACTCACCATGTAGCCCCAAAAGGCTTGAATTTATGATTCTTTCTACTGCCTTAGTCTCTAGTATTTGGGATAAAAGGCCTTCACTACCAGGCCCAGCTAAGCAGTTTCATAAGTTTGCTCCCTTTTCTTTCCTTTACCCCCTCATATATATGTCTGTTTTCATGTGTCTGAACTCATATGGCAGAGTCCATCCAGCTTGCTTCAGGAGATTCCTGTCTGTGACTCCTACCTTGCCTTAGGAGCACTGGGGTTGGAGAGGTACACTGTAGTGACTAGCTAGCTTTATGTGGTTTCTGGGGATTCAAACTTGGTCTTCCTGCTGGCATGGAGGCGCTTCATCAGCTACTGCGCTATCTCCCCATGTCCCTCCCTAACTTTAGATGAGGTGTTTCGTTTATAAAGAGAGTGCACAAACAAAGGTGGTAGGTAAGATCTACAATAAAAGAAACTCAAGACAGTAAAAAAGAGGGCTGAAGAGATGGCTGTAATGTCTATAATCCCAGTTCCAGGAGATCCACACCCTCTTAATGCCTGAGACAGACACACACACTCATACATGCATGTGATCTTTTTTTAGGTTAAAAAAAGAATAATGTTGAGGAAGGTTTTCCAAAAGGATAAATTTTATGTAACATAGAAAATCACTCTTTTTATTAAAACATTCTGGTGTTTTGAGTTTTATTTAGAATTTTCCAGTGTAGAGCCAGAAATACTAGCTGTGGTAAATTACTCAAGAATTTGAACAGGTACTCAGTAGTTATGGATTAGGTAGTTAATGATCTTTCTGTCCTCCCTCTAGTTTCTAGGTGCTCCAAGCCTACCAGTCTACACTGTGGATTGCAGTAGCTCTGGGACCAGCATCCTAACAGGGTCAGCAATTCAAGTTCAGAACATTAAGAAAGACCAGACACTGACTGCCAGGATTGAAATACCTGTAAGCTACCTCTCTCTTTGGTTTTACTTGGAGTCTTTAAGGTCTTTAGCAGATATAGAGTATTTATGCAAAGTTGTTTGATGCTAAAATGTATAGTACCTTGGTTCTCTTAAGAAAAACAATGTGAACTATAACTATTTTAACATTATGTATCACATATTAATAATTTTCTTGATCGGATCTCTTACATGGTTTATAACTATTAGTGATTTTATTTCCTTTTTTTTTTTCTTTTTGGTTTTTCCGAGACAGGGTTTCTTTGTGTAGTTTTGGTGCCTGTCCTGGATCTCGCTGTTTTGACCAGGCTGGCCTCAAACTCACAGAGATCCACCTGCCTCTGCCTCCTAAGTGCTGGGGTTAAAGGCATGCGCCACCACCACCTGGCACATTCTAATTCTTTTAAGGCTAATTATGTTTTTATAATCTTTTTCCTCCTTCTCAGTCAAACCTAGGATCTTTGCCAACTACTTTTCCCCTGAGCTACATCTCAGCCCTTGATAATCTTAAAATATTTAGGATTCATTTCCTTTTTGCAATAATGTAGGTAATGTGTGTGTGCACGTGCAAACATATGCATGCACATAATATCTTGCAAACTATCAAAAAGTATAGGACTCATAGTTATCTGGGGATGGGGAGAATCTGGCCTTTGAGGCAAAAAAGACTTATGTAATTATATAGCAGTATCAGAAGACCAGGAATTCAGTTTACTTAAAATAAATAGCAAGTTGTGTCTGCTTTTAGCTAGTTTTTAGTGTCTTATCCAAAGGATGCAGCCTTGAGAGTAAGGAGTCAAGTAAGTGTGTATGCCTTTAAAATAAATTGCTTGATATTTTATAATGTAGGAATTTTAAATAAAATTTAAATAACTCACGTAAATGGGTTTCTATAGGAATAGCTATAAATAGACAAACAAAGTTTAAAGTTATTTTAGGATTAATAAATAACTTTTTGTTGTTGAAGGTATTATAATTTGTTAAAGAAGTGATGGTTTAATAGTTTAATTTTGTATGACTAATTGTAACTTCTTTACGATGGGTCTGTACAATCGTAGTATACTGGTAATCAATATAAATTTCTCAGTATGTTGATAAGCTCAGCTTTCAAGGCATCTAAAGCTCTTCTGGCTATAAACAAGTTTTTTCATTTATCCCAGTGTGTTATTAATTGGGGAAAAACCCATAAAATTTCAATACAGCTTAATACTAAAAAGTAGTGTCTTCTGTGGCAGCAGTTTGTCTTCAATTTTATGGAAAGTTCTTGGTTTCTTCTTTATTGAATCTGTAACTTAATTTAAATCTTGTGAATTTATAGTAATTTTAAAGTGAATTTAAAAATAAGAAAGAAGGCATCCCTGTTAGTAGTTTTCAGAATGTACCCAATGCCATTTATGCCTGATGGTGTAAAGTTTTTACTGTTAAAAGTATAATACCTTTTTTGTTTGTTTGTTTTAAAGGCAAGGTCTCCTGTATATTCCAGGCTGACCTTGAACTTACTGACCTCCTGCCCACACCTCCCAAGTGCTGAGATTACAGGTGGGTGCCACCACATCTGGCTTATAATACCATTTTAATGATAAACTTTGTTACAAGTGTAACTATGATAAGATGATCTTTCCTAATATTGAAACTAAATTATTAAACAGTGCCATGGATTTGCCATTAGATAAAAGAAGAAATGAATATGTAGGGCACTCAATGTATATTCATGTTTTCTCTTCTAGAGTTGTAAAGATGTGTCACCTGTGGAAAAGACTATCAAGTTACTTCCCAGTAGTCACGTTGCTCGCCTACAGATATTTAGTGTAGAGGGACAAAAGGCTATCCAGATCAAACATCAGGATGAGGTTAATTGGATAGCAGGTGATGTAATGCAAAATCTAATTTTTCAAATGTATGATGAAGGAGAAAGAGAAATCAATATTACACCATCCTTGGCAGAAAAAATTAAAGTAAGTATTTTATACAGATTATTTACTTGTAAAAACTCTTATGTTTAGAAAATTGAAATTTTATGGATAACCTATAAAATTGTTTATCAAAAAAAAAATACTGTTATTAGGTTGGTCCTAAAGGAATTGTGGTATTGGACTATAAGTTTGATTTAAATCATAATTAGACTCCAACACATTTTTGCCAATGGGAAATAAGCTTGTGTATTCCTATAAAATAAAAATAGAAATTCTGTGAACTCATGGACAGCATAAGAGAGGACAGCAGTTGAGCTGGTCAGCTTATTCTCAGGAAGCTCACTGGGCTGCCTTACTGAGCTTCCTTTCCAGTTAGTTTAGATGCTGAGTAGCCATTGAGAGTGATGTAATGACAGAGAGTATGAGTCTCTTGCCTGGCCAGTACCACCACCCAGTTTTGTCCTTTTTGACAACCTTTTTATTTTTGTTATTTTTTTGTCCACTTAGTTTCTTGTGAACATTGGGCTTCAGAGCAATTCTGGTTCAGGCAGGGTAGCCAAAAATCTGGAGAGGCCCCACTGGTTCTAGGGCCTCCTCCAGGTGGCTAAGTCTGCCTTGTTGTTCTCTGAGCTTCAGGGGTTCTCTGATCTCCTTTATGACTGAGTGCAAACAGCCCAAAACAGAGCAGAGCATACTGGCAGGGGCATCAGCAGCTGGAGCCTGGGCTGTGCCTGAGGCAGGAGCTGAGTCCATCTTTTATCATAGCCATGAGTGCTTCTGCATTGCCAGAACCTGTCTGGACAAGTGAACTTTATCGGGGACTGGGGGGTCTAGCCCCTCGATAGTCCCCTCCCAGGGTCCGGGAAGAATCTACAACCAGCTGATAATTAATCTTTGAAGAAAGAAAATGAATCTATGTACACGAAACTCCTTAGTCCATACACTTTATTATTCTGTCAGTTCTCTCTCTACAAGCTTATGCTCTGCTCTCATTTTTAGCTCCTTTCTTGCCCAGTTTCTCTTTACATTTATCTGTTGTCCCCTCTAGGTTTTATCTTAATTCCTTCATCTAGTTCTGCCCCCTTCTAGGTTCTCATCCATTTAGTTCTTTCCCGTATCAGCTCCTCTCCCATCTCCTCCTCTCTCACCTTGTTCTTCTTCGTCTTGTTCTTCCCCATCTGGCTCTTCCTCATTTTCCATCTTGTTCCTCTAGTCCTCTCTTCTGGCTCTTTAGTCTAGTTCTTCCCCATCTCAGTTTGTTCCTCTCAAGTTCTTACCCATCTAGTTCTTCCATTCTCTTTTCTCTTTTCTGTCCCCTCGTACCCTGGGAGTCCTGGTATATATACACTTACAAGCAGTAAATCCCTTGGCAGTGCAAAGCCAGGCTTCCAGGGTCAAATGTAGGGGTGATAAGAATCACATAGGGAGGCAATAACCATTAATCATCATTTGCAACCCCAAAGGGAAGTGACCAATGGGGAAATGAATTAATTAACTAAAGGCTAAATTTGGGTAATAGCTAAGAAGAGGGATCTTATGTGCTCAACTATAGTCTTAAACATGATTGGTAGAAAATGTTAAGAATCTATAAGTTGCTCGGTCAGTGGGAGAAAATAAAACTGCCTTTTTTTTCCTGTGACTCCTATCTGTCCAAGCTATCTGCCGTTTTTCTGCAGGGTGGGGGAAAATGTGCTCGGTTGCTAGGCAGCCTGTATACAGCTAGATACCTCTGGTGATAGTTAAAGGGAGATCTGGAACTAGAGGTAAGATTTGGGAAAGGAGGAAGTAAAGCTTAGTTGGCACATCCGCCAGGCCTTCTCAAACAGGTAACCTGGTTGCTTAAGTCTATTCTTAGAGAGTACAGAGGTATCTCTGATAAGGTACTTTTCCTCCATCTGGGGATGGACGTGGCCGGATGCTGCCAATGATGATAATTACAGGGAGGCTTGAACTGGGGTTCTGGCTGAGCATAGCTGTCAGCACAGAAAGTTATTTAAATATTCCTAGAAGTGGTTAGATAAGGAGTTAAAGGTCTATAAAGTTAGTAAGGCTGTAAGAAAGGAGAGTCCGAGCTAAATTGTATAAAGCTATTACTTAACATCCACCTGACCTAGGCGGTGTCTCCTTGTGGAATTTACCTTAAATCAGGAGACTTTCATGTGGACTGTTTCTGTCCTTGAAAGTGGCTTTCAAGATTCCAGAGAAAGCCTTTCCTCGGGCTATTCTCCAAATACCTGTCCTTGAAAGTGGCTTTCAAGATTCTAGAGAAAGCCTTTCCTCAGGCTATTCTCCAAATACCTGGAATGTGTATGTCCAGAGAGTGATCACTGTTAGCCCTTCTTAGGGAAAAATCAATTGGGAAAACTATGAAGGCACACATGATTTTCATAACAGAAGACAGCTGATATATAACAAGCCAAATAACACCAAAAGCTCCTTGGAATTTGGCTTCCTCTGGAGGAAATCCTTGATCCCTCCAGGTAGTGACTTTGCCATAACCAGCTGAGTTCTTATGATATATTCCTGCCGCCCGCAGCTGAACTTCAGGCTCCTCTAGCTGGAGACAGAAGGGCTAGGGGCATTTCCCCTTGTGAGGTTGGTGCCAGGGGATCTCATCCATATCCACTGCATCATTACAGAGTCATCCCTTGCTGTGTCCCATGTCTGTTCGGTAGAATCTGACAACCTTAACTTGGCTTCTGTCTTGTGGAGGCTCTGTTGGGTTATCATCTGGCAGCAGGCCGATTGGGCTGATGGCTGAAGTTTTACAAGGTCCAATATAGGCCTGCTCCAGAAGTCCTGGTGATTTTTTTGGATGTTGGACATCCACTTCTCTGAGGTCCTCCTTGGGAGGGGAGGTTAGTAACAGTTTCTGGGCCAAACAGTTTCTATTCGTCGTCTTTTTTTTTTTTTTTTTTTTTTTTTTAAAAAAACATAGCTGTAGTGGCAACTGCCCACAAGTAAGTCAGCCAGCTGGCCAAAACAGGATCAAGTCTTTTGGACAGATAGGCCACTGGCTTCTTTAAAGATCCCCCTTCATAGGATGGGACATTTTTTTTTTCCTTCCCCCAGTCTGCTGGAAGCAGGGGGGAGGGAGCATGGTGCAGTGCCTTTGAGCCTGTGAGAATTTGTACTAGGGGCAGCATTGGGTGGTTGAGGTTCTAGGACAGTTCATTCCTGCTTCCATTTTATACCTGTTTCTTCAACCAAGAGAACCGACAGAAACACAGTCACACAGTAAAGACAACTAGGGTTGGCCACCACACATTCAGATACATGAAAAGACCAGCGGAGTGCAGTGAGGTCGTACACGGATCCTGAACACTGGACCAGTGGCTGCCTCTGTCCTCTCTGTGATCCTAATGCCTCTGAGGAGTCTGACATCTCCGACAGAAGATGCTTTAACCAGACTTACCTCTGGAGGTATCAGACTCCTCAGAAGCATTAGGCAGCGGTTGATCAAAGGGAGTCCTGGAGCCCTGGAATGGATCAGGTTGCATACCCCCAGGAGCTCCTTGACCACCGAACTCTTCCCCACTTGGAGGGCCTCTGACACTCTGGTATCTAGGGATCTCCCTGGGGCATCCAGAAATGTTGTGGAGTATCCACTAGAGAAGACAACTCCAGGTTTAAGCCAAAAGAAAATCTTTATTAGCTGGCTAGCCACTGCTTTGGGTGTTCATCAGTGATCGCAGTATAGCTCTAAGCCTTCATCGGGTCTGGGGCCCTGGTTCCAGTCCTTGCTCTGGCCCGTGACTTCTTTCCTCCATTGCAGAGGGAGGAAGAACTGAAAGAGAAGTAGGCCTCATGCTGCTTGCAAGAGGAGCACACCATCCCTTCTGTCACACTTAGATTTGAGGGTCAGTTGAGCAGTTGGACTGAGGCCCCGCTTCTGAGCGGCCTCCCTCCCTTCTTCAGTGAGGCATGTTTACTCAGCACTGGAGAAGGGGAGGTGGGCTGGGCCAACCTTTTTTTCTTTCTTATCAAGATTTTTTTAATCAATGTTAAGAAAAATGTACTGCTGTCTTTTTTCTTGTCTTTCTCAAATCAGAACTACAGTCTCTGAGGTGGTTGTGCATCTTCAGAGGCTTAGTAATGGTTGAAGGAAGTCAGGCCTCCCATGTTGTAGCATTAGGGTGAGCAGGATGCAGCCTTTGTCTTTTATGCCTATTTCTTATCTTCTGTCATTCGAGCAACATGAACTAGTAAACAGTATCAGTGATTTTTGAACTCACAATCAAAGACTGAAAGAGCAAGTTGAGCTAAAAGTTCTTAAATACAAATCAAAAGTTGAAAGTAGGATATAGTGTGGTAATTTAAAAGAATGGATTAAATGTCACATTAAAACACGTAATTTAAGGGATAAAAAATTTAATCTAGAAATACTGGAGAAAGGAATTAACCCAGAAGGTGACCAGAAAGGTAAAACAGCAGTGACGCACCCTTTTCTTGCAGAGTAGAAGTCCCCAGGGATCACATTCAGAGCCTCCACTCAGACCTCTCAGTGATGACATGTGCACATTCTTGTTTTCTTTTTGGGGACTTCACACTTGGTTGTGTCTGGTTTTGAGATAAGTGTCTCCTGTAGGCCAAGCTGGCCTTTAACTGCTAATGCTCTTGCCTCCATCTCCCAGCCACTAGGATTGCCTTCGTGCACTGTAGCATGGGTCTTTGTGAGGTTTTTTGGTTTTGTTTCTTCAAAGAACAAGGTCTTATATTTAGCCCATTCAGGCTTCCAACCTGGAATCATCTGCCTCAGACTCCGGAAGTGCCATCATATCTAGCTGGTCTCCACTAGAAACTATAATGGCCACAGTGACAACCCTGTAGCAAAACTCGGAAGATATTTGTCCTAATGGTTTTCAATTTTTACTCTGAAGATTGGGAAATATTTGCCACAAAACCAAAGATGCTTGTTTGTTATATTATATACTATTATTTCTGATCATAAAGTGCTTTCTAACTGGGCATGGTAGTGTACACCTTAATCCAGGACGTGGGAGATAGAGGCAGGTAGCTCTCCGAGTTTGAGGCCAACCTGTTGTACATAGAGTATTCCAGTACAGCCAAGGTTACATGGACTCTGTCTCCAAGGAAATACAAAAACAAGACAAAACAGGAAAAAACAACTTTGGTGTGGGGGGGGCGCAGATTATAATTTAGTTTTAAGCTTCTTGAGTAACTAGGTGGGGTATGGTGGCACATTCCTATAATCCTAGCAGTTGGGAGGTGGAGGATCATGAGTTCATGTCCATCCTAAACAACCTGAGTTTGGGGGCAGCCTGTTCTACCTGGAACCCTGTTTCAGTCTTTAGAAAATAAGTGGTTATTGGAAGTCTTTGAGCGAAGCCTCTCAGCTTTGTGTTATGTGTATTCTCTCCTAGGTTAACTGGACTCCTGAGGTTAACAAAGAACATTTGCTACAAGGTCTGCTTCCTGATGTGCAAGTACCGACATCTGTGAAAGACGTGCGCTACTGCCAGGTTTCTTTCCAAGATGACCACGTCTCTCTGGAAAGTGCTTTTACAATAAGGTTTGTGAACTTGTGGTATTTTGAGTTATTTGGAGTGCCATAGCAAGATAGTCTGCAGCACACACACACGTGAAAAAAGTTCCTTTTAGGATGAAAAGAACTACACCTTTTAGTTTCTATAAAATATGGGAGATTGTCTTTACAGAAAGGCTTGATTGTACATAGGTTGATTGTTGGGGCTTTGTTAGAGACAGAGTCCTGCTATGTAGCCCAGGCTAGCTTCAAACTCACTGTTGTTTTTCTGTTGGCACGGAGGCTTCGCTTTAATCTATCTACTGCTGTTTCAGGCAATAATTGCTGTTCCACAGTTACTGGCCTGCTTCTCTGGCAGCCTTGTCCTGGCGGGAATTCTGTTCCCACAGGCATCGGCTCGCATTCCCACAGGCATTTGGCTCCCACAGCCAAATATAGCTTTTAATTAAATCTCTATCCTTGTATTTATCAGTATGATTCAGGAGTCAGAGGCTGGGATAAAAAGCTGCTATCTCAGGGAGGTTGAGTAGCAACCAGCTGACCTCTCTTTGCTGCGGTCTTGGAAAGATCCCCTCCGTATCTCCACCAAACCAAAACCCCATGCCACTCCAAGCTATTACCTACTAATTCCTGTGCGTGTCTCTGTCATCTTCCAGACACCCTCTGACTCTCTGTGATTATTGCTTTCTGTCAACTAGTTGTTAACTCGGCCTCCTGACCCAAGGTGGATTTTATTTAAATAATGCAAATGCAGACTCGGAGTTCACAGTGCAATCGAATATCCCACAACAGCTCACAGTCCTCCTGCCTCAGCTTCCCGAGTGCTGGGATTACAAGTGGTGGCACTGTGTATGACTGATAGTGATTACTCTTATCATGATTATAAGCTTGCACTTCATTTAGTAACTGTAAAAATGCACCAAAGGAAGGTTCTTCAACTGAAAACAACAGAGGCCCAAAATATACGAAAGGTAGAGTGTGGTTTTTAGAGGGAAAAAATTATCACATTGGTTAGTGGTGAAACTTAGTTCAATCAGAATTAATCTACACACCTCATAGAAAAGAGTAGAGCTTAATATAAAGGAGCAAAAGACTCTTCTTGTTGCACAGCTCCTTGGCCACCCTTTCCAGTGACTCCAGCACTGTGACCCTCTACCTTTTCCCAGGCTGTTCTTTGCACCAAGAGCAGTTCTACTGCTCTGACCATAACTCATCGTTGTGATTTATTCTTTTTTTTTTTTTGGTTTTTCGAGAAAGGGTTTCTCTGTGTAGCTTTGCGCCTTTCCTGGAACTCACTTGGTAGTCCAGGCTGGCCTCGAACTCACAGAGATCCGCCTGGCTCTGCCTCCCGAGTGCTGGGATTAAAGGCGTGCGCCACCACCGCCCGGCCTGTTGTGATTTATTCTTACCTGTCTCTTGACAGTATTTCCTTATTATAATTTCCTCTTAATGTAATATAAAGAGTATAATGTAATTTTTTTTGCAGTCAATAGCTATTTAAAATGAAAGATTTGGAGGAGTGCTGTTGTATTTAAATTTAGGGTATCAAATATGTGTTGCTCTTCACTTTTTTTCTGCAATTAATGGTTCATTAAAGCCTTTTAACCAAACCAATTTTAGACCACTTCCTGATGATCCCAAACATTTAAAATGCGAGTTAAAAGGAGGAAAAACGGTGCAGATGGGCCAAGAGCTTCAAGGAGAAATAGGTTCGTATACCTACTTTTTTTTTTTTTTAAATAATGCTGGCTTTCATTAGTTTTTTAAAATGTATGCTCTGAAAGATACTTTTTAGCATACATTGAAACTCAGCTTTATGATAGTTGGTTTAGAAAATCTTGCCTTTGTTAGAAGAAATAGTTATGAATGAATTGAATTGATTCCTATATAGCCTTTATTTTTTCCTTATAGCTATAAAATTAAATACCATTAAAATGTTTCTTTTAAGTTTTAATTATTAAAAAAGCTGACTTAGGCTTTGGGGTATAGCTCAGTGGTGGAGCATACCATGTATGCGGGCCTATGTCCTTAACACCTCACAACTAAAAATAGTATTAACATTGGTGTACCTCAGAAAATAAAATTAAAAGTCACTTGGTTATTAGCAGTATTTAAACATTCTTGCACAGGTTCTTGATACAGTTTTAATGATTAGAAGAGAAATAAGTATAATTGTAAATTACCTATGTATGAGAGTAAAGCTTCAAAGTATATTTTATGTGTAAGATAGATCTTTAAAAGGATTTTATCTTAAAGCTTTTTTCTCTTTTAAGTTGTTATAGTTGCAGATCAGTATGGAAATCAGATTCCAGCATTTTCACCAGATTCTTTATCTACGTTGTCAATTGCTGGAGTTGGACTTGATAACTCTAACTTGAAAATCACTTTTGAGGTAAAACTACCTTATAAAATTGATTTTGTGTTTGACAAAAGTTGGGGGGGAAATGAAAATAATGAAAGTTTAACTTTACATACATTATTTTTAATTTTTTGAAACCATGTTTTATTTGTGTATGTTTGTGTGTACTACACATGGCTAAATGCTTGCCCTAGTGTCTCAGATATTGAACTCAGACGTGGTGGCAGGCTTCTTTGTTACCAGATGGGTCATCTTGCCAGCCTTGACCTTATGTCTAAAATTCTTCCTTAAATAAAACTTGTATTTAAAACATTGTGGGGATAGCATATGTGAGGTCTCAAGCTTTCAAAATACAATGAATTTGCACATTTGAAAACAACAGTAACCAGAATTGCAGGTGTTTCCTCCGGTCCCATCATTCACTTGCAGCCGTCATTGCATTTTCACTAATCATATCCCTTTGGAGCAAATTGTAGTTGTTAGAATATTTATTTCACTCTAAGTATTTAAATACACATATGTCAGCTTACGTGTACACAATATGTAAATTTTCAGTTAGGTATTTAAATAAAACTTAGTGCTTACCCCCTGCGTTAAAACAGGATACTGAGGAGAAAACTCACTGTTTAACTTTGCTACTGTATGGTTAATTCACTGTAGCTTGAGAAGTAAAGGCCCTGATAGAATTCTTGGAGCTTGAAACAAGCATGAAGCACTCTTGTTGAAAAGGTCAAAGCCAGCATTAGGTGAAAGGATGTTCTGGAATTGGGTCTTGACAAAACCTGCCAGCAGTGTAGATTAGAAAAAGGAGTTCCCCAGGTCTACAGAATTTGATTCATTGATTGCATTATGCTTTTTCTTTGACAGGATAACCATGAGAATTTCCTCACTAGTTTCTGCCTTTACAAAGTCTGTACTTTACTATCTCTCTTCGACTCTGTGTTGATGACATGAGAGGATGAATTCGCAACTGTTATAGCTATGTGTAGACAGTCTGCTTCTTGTCACCCTGTGCACACCATGTGCTTGGGTTCTTTAAAAAGTTTACTTTGACACACAAATTGTGCATAGTCATACATACAGACAGAGCACCCACATACATAAAAATAAAATAGATTTAGATGTATACATGAATGTATCTACACATATAGGACATGGGATCATTAACAGCCATTATTAAAATGTGAGTACTTTTGTGCTCTTTCTGGTCTAGAATCAGTTTAGTCATATTGCAAAGATTAATAGCTAGTTTCATTAGTAGGGTATGGTAACCATTATTCTGAATAATTGATAAGCAGCAACAAAAGCCCTAATCACAGTGAATATCACCTCGACAAAGGGGAGGGCATGCAAAAAATAACGGGGAGAAAAAATAGTGGAGATAATAGTATTTTACCATGTAGGATGTTCAGGAAAGACCTTGTTAAATTAAGGTACCATCTATGGAAATACTTAAAGCAAAGCCACAGTGAAAAAGAGTTACAAACTGAGGGAAAAACACAAGAGCCAAGTTTCTCAGCCAGGTGTGCTTGCTTTGGGGGTTAAAGAAAAGCACAAATACAGATTGAGCATCCCAAACAGAAAATTTGAAATGTTCTGAAATCCAGAGAATTTTGACTACTAGCATGATGCTCAAAGTTGCTGGTTTTTAGAGTATCTCATACTTATAGATTAGAAATCTTCTGGTGTGGGGGACCTGGATTGAGACAGGGTTTCTCTGTGTAGACCTGGCTGCCCTGGAATTTACTCTGCAGACCAGCCTGGCCTTGAACTCACAGAGGTCTGTCTCCTTCTGCCTTCCAGTGCTGATACTGAAGGCATGCACTAGCAGCGCCTGGCTAGATTAGGAATCTTAACCAATCCATGCAAATATGAAATTCAGAGAGCTCAGGCCAGGCAGGGTGTAGCACAGTGGCACATGCCTTTAGTCCCAAAAGTAGGGAGCAGAGATAGGCCAATCTGTGTAAGTTCGAGGCTGACCTGGGAATCTTTTTGTGTTCAAGGTTAGCTTGGTCACATAGTGCAGTTCCAGACCAGCCAAAGCTACATAGACTTTATCCCAAACAGACAAACAAACAAACAAACAAATTTAGAGAACTCCAAGATTTGAAACACTTGGTCTTAAGCATTTTGATCAAAAGATAACCTGTAGAAGAAAAGGGGAAATTATGAGAAGATAAGGTAAAAAGAGATCTATTCACAGTTTTATAGATTCTTTGCCACTGACAGAAGAGAGAAAGATACCATTTTTCTCTCCTGAAAATAGAATGGAGTATGCCAGTGTTGGCATGGATTTGGTCTCTTACCCAGAAATAGCAGTAGGTGAATTATGCAACTTTTTTTTTTTTAAAAGACTAAGCGACAACAACCTGTGTTTTCTCAATGTGCTTCTCTTCACTAGGCTAACACACAGAGCATAAGTGTACGAGGCATCAGATTTACTCCAGGTCCTCCTGGACATAAGGATCTTTGTTTTACTTGGCGAGAATTTTCTGACTTCATTCGAGTGCACCTAGTTTCTGGACCTCCAACCAAGCTGCTTCTTATCGACTGGCCAGAGCTAAAAGAGGTATACAACTTCATGTCTTCATGGTAATAATTAATAGTGCAGGTTCATTGCTTTCAGAGCCTTAGTGGATTAGAAGAGATAGATTTTGTTTTAGAAGAAATAATAATTGTAACTAGCCGGGTGATGGTGGTGCATGCCTTTAATCACAGCACCCAGGAGGCAGAGCCAGGTGGATCTCTGTGAGTTCGAGGCCAGCCTGGTCTACAGAGCAAGATCCAGGACAGGCACCAAAACTACACAGAGAAACCTTGTCTCGAAAAACCAATATAATAATAATAATAATAATAATAATAATAATAATAATAATAATAATAATTGTAACTAATAGTAACAAAACAAGGTAAGATTTTGTTTTGTTTTGTTTTTGTTTTTTTGAGACAGGGAGGGTTTCTCTGTGTAACAGTCCTGGCTATCCTGGAACTAGTTCTATAGACCAGGCTGGCCTCCAACTCATAGAGATATGCCTGCCTCTGTTTCCAGAGTTCTGGGAATAAAGGCTTGCACCACCGTTTTCTAACACGAGGTGAGTCTTAACACTTTAGTTATTCACTGAGTCTGAAATTATGAATTAATAATTTAGATTTTTAAAACTGTTCTAGACATACATAAAAATTAGAGCAACAATGAAACTGATTTTACTAGCACCCATTTTATCAGTCAACTGATTTTTGCTAAATTTGTTTTTTGTTCTTTTATAGTAATATAAAAACTTTATTGCAGTTTTTTTTCTTTGAAGATTAGTCTATTTGTGTGTCTAAGTGGATGTGCACTGGTATGCACATGTGCCAGGGTGTGCATATGGGGGCCAGAAGAGGTCTTCCTACTGTCCTTTGAGGTAGGGTTTTTACCCGAACCTGGGACTTGTGTTGGTTGGCTAGGCTGGGAGCCAGCAAGTCCCGGAACCACCCTGCTCTTCTTTCCTCAGAGCTGAAGTTACAGGCTTGTGTTCAACACCCAGCCTACTTCATGAGTGCTGGGATTTGAACTGTGGTCCTTACAATTATATAGCAAGTGTTCTTAACAATTAACCATCTCTCCAGTCTTGTTGAAGTTTTTGTAAAGCGTATTTCAGTGCACCAATACAAATGGACTTTCTGTGAAAATACCTAAGTCTTAAATATTCATTTTGCAAACATCTGGCAAATCCTACCTCTGCTGACTTCATTTACTGATAATTTTAGAATCTAGTGAATTTAGTATGGTGGCATGGTTGGAACAGACATCCAATCCCAGCACTCAGAGTTAGATTTTTAAGATTTATTTATTATGTTGACACTGTTCTGCCTGCATATATGCCTGTATGCCAGAAGAGGGCACCAGATCTCCCTACAGATGATTGTGAGCCACTATGTGGTTGCTAGGAATTGAACTCTGGAAAAGTTCAATTGGATTTCTAGAAAAACAGACAGCGCTTTTAACCTCTGAGCCATCTCTCCAGCCCCAAGATGGGGATTTCTCTGAGTTCAAGGCCAGCCTGCTCTACATAGAATCCAGTAAAAAAAAAAAAAATTTAACATTTTGTTGAGAAATTAAAATTGTATATACTTAAAATGTATGTTAAATGACAAGATGGATTTAATGATAATATATGTATCATCTTACATACTTACTGTTTTAAGGTGATGACATTTTTAAAATACAGTGTTTTTGTTGAGAATTTCCTTTACAGATGCATTGTATTTTAATCATAATTTATCATTCCTCCCCTTAACTCAGCAGTTCTCAGCCTGTGGGTCACAGCCCCCCACCCCCCACCCCCGGATTTGAAGAACCCTTTCACAAGCGTTGCCTAAGGGATTGGAAAACACAGACATTTATATGACAATTCATAAGAGTAGCAAAATTACAGTTACAAAATAATTTCATGGTTGGGGGTCACCACAACATGAGGAACTGTATTAAAGGGTTGAAGCATTAGGAGAGTTGAGAGCAACTGACTTAACTCTTCCCAGATCAACAGCCACCTCCAACTTAATGTCCTTTTAAAAAAAAAAAAAATAGCCTACCACCAAGTTCATTTTGTGCTTCCCATATACTTGTGTATTTGAAGCCACCCCAGAGTGTGGTCGATTTTCCAGGGGCCTCATCCTTAAAGGAAACTTACTTTACCTCTCCCAGAAACTCCCAACTGTCAGTAGCTCCTCCTTCAGTAATGGAGGCTCATGAGCCTCTCTGATCTCCATACTGGAATGTTGATTGGGTTGGTCTTATACAGCTTTCATGCTGGCATCCAAAGCTGCCGTGGATCCATGAGTGTAGCAGCCCTGTCAAGTCCTTCCCAGCCTCTGGTTTTTACAGCCTTTCTGCCCTCTTCCCCATAATGGTTCCTGGACTTTGGTGGGGAGGGAGTATGTAATATAGATGCCACATTCATGGCTGAACACTCCATACACACTTACTCTGTACTTCAACCATTTGTGAGTTTTTGCATTAAGAAATGGGTATGGAGATAGGAATATAGAAGCCAGTTTGATACTATGTCCATTTAGCAGAATAAGGATAGTAGTCTCACCCCTGTGGCCCATGAGCTCACCAGCCATGGATTTTTTTTTAAAACAACTACTTAACATTATAGTTTTATAAAAGAAAAAACAATTTGAAAAAAGAGCTGTGTAAAAATGCTACAATAATTTCAGGGTTTGAATTAATGAGAATAATAATGTTATAACAAAAACAAGCGTATGATTTAAACAGACTTGAACCAGTGAATTAGGTGGTAAACATTAAGAATCCTTCAAACCCATCTCAACAGTAGTGTAGACTCTAGTAGAGTGGAGATGTTGGCTGTGAGAGAACAAAGACACACATTCTCTTGAACTCAGATTCTTGTCCATCAGTGCCTTCCAGTCTCCCTATCTTTCTGACCCTTCCCCTTTCCCATAATGCATTTCTGTGTAAGTACTTTTAGTTTGGCACAGCTTTCTTTTTTATTATTGAGAAGTTGTGTCTAATGTTTAGATATTTCTACAGAGTGCCTGTAGTCAGCACTTGGGAGGCTAAGGGAGGAGGATCCTGAGATCAAATCTAGACTGAACTGTGTTGTGAGACCCTGTCTGTAGATGGACTTTCTCAGTCCCACCAGCCAGCTCCCCAAATAACCACACAGGGACTTAATATTAATTATAAGTGCTAGGCCGATACCTTAGACTTGTTACTTACTAGCTCTTACATTTTAAATTAACCCATTTCTATTCCTTTACTTGCTACCACATGGCTCATGGCTTGTTACCTTATTTTGTACATGTCCTGCTGCTTCTGCATCACTGGTGATTTTCAAGACTCCACTCTTCCTAAGTGTCCTCCTAGTCTGGCTCTCCCGCCCAGTCTCTTCCTGCCCAGCTATAGGCCAGTCAGCTCTTTATTAACCAATGAGAGTGATACATATTCACAGTGTTCAAAGATTGTTCCACAGCACCTGTCTCAAAAAAAACAAAAGAAAAGAAAACAAAACAAAAAAACAGAGTAAGGAGCTAGAGAGATAGCTCAGTGGTGATGAGCAGTACTGTGTGCAGGTATGTGCATATAAGTTTAGGTAGTCTTGGAGGCCATAGGTCAGATCCCCTGAAGCTGCAGTTATAGGATTACATAGGTGTTAAGAACCAACCTTTCATCTTCTGAAAGAGCAGTAAGCCCTCCAGCTCCAAAACAAAATATCTATACTCTCAGCTTTTCTGCACTTCTGTGGTTGGTTGGTTGGTTGGTTGATTGGTTGGGTTTTTTTTTTGAGGGGGGGGTTGTAATGTTTATTAGGGAGAGGCTTACAAACGTACACACACCAAGTGGGGAGGAGATCAGACAGCCATGGTTCTTGGCCATTTTTTTTTTTTAATCTGTGAAAACCAGTTGGTTAGTCCATAGCATTCATTCCAGCATTTCGCCAACAGGCCCATCTTTGCATGCCGGTTGTTACTGTATTTGTACCATTCACAGCTGGGCAAGACCGTTGATGTTTTTTCTCCCCCAGCAGCCTGTGTAGCACTTTTCTGGTACTGTGAAAGCCAGGCTGCCAGGTAGAAGCTTCCAGGTCAGCATCAGCTTGATTTCTCTATGTCCCGGTGGCCAGAGTGTTTGGTGTCTTACATCCAGTTCTGTTAGACAACCAGAATCAGTGGCAGTAGCCTGTATTGCTTTGAGAGACTCCTGAACACCCCTGACTTAACAACTTCAGGAGAAGTGATGAAGACATTTTAAAATCGATTTTCTTAACACCACTGTGTGTGGTGGCATTTTTCCACTATCCAGCACCCAGGAGTTAGAAACCATAGGATCACAAGTCTGAGCCATCCTATACTATATAGCCAGGGTCTATATTTAAGAAAAGGAAAATGGCTGACTGTGGTAGTGTGGCTTGCTATTAATTCCAGCACTTGGATCTCTGCATTACAGTTCTAGACCAACCAAAGCTGTGTAGTTAGACCTATCTCAGCAACAAAATGAAAGAACAACAGATCACTGTACTATTACCAGTTTTTCCAGAATAGATCACATCATTAACTGTAGAACCGTGCCTTACAAAAATCTATTAACTTAGTCCTCTTTTCTAAAGTTTTATATCCTTTGGCCTGCAGTTCACAGCAATCTTCTGTCTCTACCTCCTGAGTACTGGGGTTGTAGACATGAACCACCATGCCCAACATAACTTTCACTTTTCGGTGAAGGACAACGAATTTGTTTAACTGAGTAGTGGGCGTAATGATTCTGAGGAAGAACCAAGTCAGCTAAGAAGAGCTCACACCGGTGCTCTAGTTTGATAGTGCCCCTTTAATTTATGAGAAAACAGAAATTGGTTATAATAATTTGTTATAAAAAATTGGTGGTTCCCTTTTTCTTCTTTATATAATGTGTTGAATAAGGGCTTCATGGAAAAGGTAGTGCATTTATTTTTATCTGGGAACATTATATACATATTAACATATTTTTATACCTCTTGATGCCAAATAATTTATTGATGTGTTCTGAAATAAATAGTGTACTTTTGAGGCAGAAAAAGAAGTTCATATTACTGGGTAGAATGTAAACAATAGTGACAGCTTATTAAAAATTATTGTAAATTTATTTGTAGATACTATAAATTATCAACAGAAACTTTGAAATGAAACCTGGAACTAAATTACTTACTCTGGTTATCAATTTTTTTTAAGTAAATGAGTCTGGAAAAGTAATCATTTAACATCTGGTCATCCTAGCAGTTCCTAACGTAATTGTTGCTCTCTCTCATAGATGCTAACTGAAAGATGTCTACTGTGGTCATTAGGAAAAACTGTGTTACTGTATTATTAGTCAGTGTTCTACTTCTGTAAAGAGACACCGTGACCACAGCCACGCTATCAAAGAAAGCATTTAATTGAGGGAGCATAGCAGCCTGCAGGCAGACATGTTGCTGGAGAAGTAGCTGAGAGTTCTGCGTCTGGGTCTGCATCCAACAGGAAAAGAAAGACTCTGGGCTTGGAATGGGCTTTTTGAAACCTCAAAGTCCACCTCTGGTGACACACTTCCTTCAATAAGGCCACACCTCTTAACCTTTCAAATAGTCACTCCTTGGTCACCAGCCTTCAAATCTATGAGCCTATGGGGGGTATTCTCATTCAAACCACCACGTATATGCATGTGTTATTCATTTTATGAATGAAGAAACTGAAATAATAACTTGCTAAAACATAAAAGTGACAGAATACATTTATGTTCAGAGACATTTGATGTTGTAATTTGGCATTTTCCACTTTTCCCCTGAAAAACTTCCACAACTTAATTTAAAGTCTTAATTACTGAGAAACATCCTTTAGAAACAGGGTGGGGCTGGAACTTGTGAGCCCCATCTGTACCACATTTAGGGAGCAGAGTGAACTGGGACTAGCATGGTGTACTAGTACTCACGTTTGGGGGTCACTGAGACTGGCAGGGCTTGCCTGTACCCACCTTAGGAGGTGGATTAGACTACATAGTGAGACTCACACCAGCAGCAGAGCAGACAGTATATGGAACTATCATTGATTTATAAATCCAAACTGTTTGTCGTCTTTAGCTTTGTAAACCAAGCATTGTATATAACCACTGGTGAGATTCTTACTTGTTCTTGTCTGTAGCAAAGCATTACATTTTCTTCCATTTTTGGCAGCCTGCAACCTAGTTTGATTAACTAGTTAACTCAAATAAGGCAGGAGGGTAGAGGAAGTAAAAGAAACGTGGATAGGAGTGAGGTAATCAGTCAGCTTCCATTTTTTTACTCTATTATTTCTCTCCCATTTAACTTTTAACATCTTCCATGAGATTGATGCTTGATGTGGTATCTTACTTAACAATGTGTCCCATGGAGTGTATCCATTAATACATCATTACATGGATTTCTGGAGTTGCACAAGCTTTCAATACTTGCTAGAGAGAAAACAAGAAGCATTTGAACTTATGGTATGGATTGTTGTTAACATCATCTTTAGTCAGGGGCTAAATGTTATTGCTAAATGCCATTGTACATAAGCTTGAAAACTGACAGAAGTGTTAAACTACAGATTGATGCTACAAGCAAATAACATCAAATGCTGTTTTTCTTTTAAACAGATTGTTAGTCTTTTTTATAAGATGGTCATATACTTAAATTGGCTTTCCAGAGTTTATTTTCATTGATGAAAGAAGCAATTTATAAATATAACCTTACTATAAAAGTAATTATATTGTTTGGCACATACTTGTTTGTGTTTACTAAAATGTTTGTCTCTATTTCAGCCCATTCCAGTGATCAATGGAAGACAATTACAGAACCCTCTCATTGTTCAACTTTGTGACCAGTGGGATAATCACGCATTAGTCTCAAATGTTAAAATAAGTCTCATAAAAGTTAACAGTTTAAGGGTAAGTTTCAAACTTCCTTGGATATTTTTCACTGAAAAGTCTATATTTCAGGGCTGGAGAGATGGCTCAGTGGTTAAGAGCAGTTGCTGCTCTTACAGTGGACACAGGTTCAGTTCCCAGCAACTTAACAACCTTTTGTAACTCCAGTTCCAGATGATCCGATGCCCTCTTCCGGCCTCCCCAGGCACAAAAATGGAACATAGACATACATGCAGACAAAAGCACCCATACACATAAAATAAAAATCAGTTGATCTTTTTTTTTTTTTTTTTTTTTTTTTGATTTTTCGAGACAGGGTTTCTCTGTGTAGCTTTGCGCCTTTCCTGGAACTCACTTGGTAGTCCAGGCTGGCCTCGAACTCACAGAGATCCGCCTGGCTCTGCCTCCCGAGTGCTGGGATTTAAGGCATGCGCCACCACCGCCCGGCCAGTTGATCTTTTTTTAATAGTTATTTGCAAATATAACTTAAAATAAGAACATTCTAGAAGCATGGTAATAGAAAAGAACTTGATAGATTTCTAGAATTTTCTTTTCTTCTTTTTTTCTTTTTTGGCTTTTTTGAGTTCTGCCTGCCTCTGTCTCCCAAGTGCTGTGAATAAAGATGTACACCACCACCACCCAACTGATTTCAAGAATTTTTTAATCAACCTTTCTATTCTGTTTTATTTGTAGCTATTACCTTCAAACCAACAGCATAAAACAGATGATAAGGGCAGAGCCAATTTGGGGGTATTCACTGTTTTTGCTCCAAGGTAAGAACTGAAAATTTTATAGTTTTACAGAGATTGATTTTTTTCTTATAGTTTCTGAATTTAAGATTAATAACTCTTTAGTGTTAGACAAGAATTGTAACAAGAGTAGAAATAATGATGTTCTCTAAAAAAATTAGTCTTTGTATTAATTATCTGCGAAGGATTCAGTTATAACAATGTAATTTGAACCTTGCCTTTATTTTTGTCCATTGTTGTTAGGGGAGTACATACTGTGCAGGTTAAAGGTGTCTATAATAAGAGTGCCATAGAAGGACCTACAATTAAGCTCATGATTCTTCCGGACCCTGAAAAGCCTATTCGTCTCAATGTTAAATATGACAAAGATGCCTCTTTCATAGCAGGTGGCATATTCACTGGTAAGTACTGGAAAGTATTCAAATAAATCTTTAGTGATAATACCCCTTATAATAATATTAATGGGATAAATTATGTTTGGTGTTCAGTATGATAAAAAAAAATACATGTCATTACCTTTAAATGATAAAGAAAATACATAAGACTGCGCAGTTCTTCCTCTCATCCTGTTGTTTTGTAGTCCTTTAAGTATAAGAATGACTGAAAGTTCATATATAAACCAGGAGTCTGAGGTTAGTACTTCAAATGGGAGCCAAAGACTGGTGTAGAACTTTGGAAGCTGAGGCAGAAGGATTGCAGCAAATTTGGAGCCAACTTTGGCTGCAGAGTGAGACCATCTGACAGAAACAAAAAAAACAAAGAACTAAGTGGTAACTAGTATGTAGCTCAGCTGTGTTATGTGTGCTGTGATATCATCTTAAAGCCATTGAAACCAGGACCATTAGCTTAAATTGTGTAGAAATAAATTGCATCAGGATGTATTAAAGTATTTCAAAGCAACAACCATCCACTAAGTAACTGCTCACTTAGAGTCTTTGTTTTATTCATAAATATTACAGTGTTCAGTAAATACAGACTAATATAGGACATGACTCAGTAATCATATACTCTGGCTATTGCTGTCAATAGGAAATTAGTATGTCCTTTATTCAAGAATTTTCTACAAATCTTCTCTTTTCTTGAAGAGGTGAATGCCTGTGTGTGAAAGAAGTATACCAAAAGGTTAGGGTTAAAATCATTTAACTGTAATTTTTAAAATATACATATCCATAGGTTTTGTACTTCATAAATTTTGTACTCAATTTGGGCAACTTTTTCTTTGAATTTATAAAGATTAACAGGTACAAACAAAATGTTGGATATATATGGTAAATATAATGGGAATGTTACATATAGTACATTAGCTACTTTACCTAGTTAAAGGGTAAAAGAAAGTTAAAAAAAATTGTTTTGTTTTGTTTTCAAGACAGGGTTTCTCTGTGTAGCCCTGCGTGTCCTGGAACTCACTTTGTAGTCCATGTTGGCCTCAAACTCAGAAATCTGCCTGCCTCTGCCTCCTGAGTGCTGGGATTAAAGGTGTGCACCACAAATGCCCGGCAAAAGTAAAATATTTTTATTCTCTAAATACATATGGCATACAGTGTTGTGACCAGTCAGCCTAATTCTTAGGTACTAAACACATATGGTCACACTATTTTGGTTTTCCATGCTAGATTTACATCATGGCAAACTGAAGCTATGACAAGGAAATATTAGTAGCAAGGATCAGTTTGTTAAGATTTATTTTGGAAAACTTGATGGTCAGACTCAGCCCTAGAAAGTTGTCTGTCATAATTAACGGTTTCCTAGAATCATTTTTGGAGATTCCTGGTTAAGTAATGGTCCCATTACTTTTTGTCTTGTGTCTTTGAATAGCCTTATTGTCTTTACCAGAATATTATATTAGATGAATAAGTAAATTTTATGTTTACATGACAGATTTTATGGTTAGTGTGATCTCTGAAGGTGGTAATGTCATCAAAAATATCAATCCAATACGCATTTCCATGAAAATGTGGAAGCTGTCCAGTGGTGTGAGCCGGCCACCAACAAATGTGAGTAATAGCGATCGGGTTCAGAAACTAAAAATAGTATCATCTATTTGGTCCTCAAGGCATGGTGGTACACATCTTCAATACAGTACTAAGGAGGCTGGGCTCTGTGAGTTTTGAGGCTAGCCCTGTCTACATAGTGAGTTCCAGAACAGTCAGGCATATGTAGAGAGACTCTGTCTCACAATAACAACAAGTAAACAAAAAAGTGACCAAAAAAAGAAGTAAAATAATTTAAATATTGTTCATCTAATATATAAAAAGTTACCGTCTCAGCATGTCCTCAGTACTTGAGTATATACATTCTTTGACTAGTTAATTTGTGCAGATAAGTGGGTATGTGCTACTTATGTGTGAGTGCACAGATAATATGATCCCATGCACACCCATGCTTGCACATGCAGGTGATGGAGGAGGATGTCAGGTGTCTGCCTTTGTTGCTCTATTATTTCTTCATTCCCGAGATAGGGTCTCTAACCAACAAAAGCTCACTCGATGCTCTAGCCACCCAGTGAGATCTTGGAAGCCTCTCTCCATTTACCCTACAAATGCTGGGACTACTGCAACATACAGCCATGCCCAGCTTTTTATGTTAGTTCTGGGATTTGAACTCAGGTCCTCATGCTAACACAGTAAGCTCTCTTAGGCACTGAGGCATGTTCCTAGCCTTGTATTTTCAAAATCATTCAAAAATGAGAGTGTATCTAGCTGCATATCCCATTTTCAGAAAACCACATTTCAAGTACTCAGTAGTCACTTGCAGCCTTTGGCTCCCCTATAGTAAATATGCGATAACTCTTAAATATGAGAAACCAAATCCCAAAACTTGTTAGAGCACCCAACTTAATAACCTGCTTCAGTGTTGATAGTTCATTGAAATAATCTGTTTTAGCTGTGCAGTGGTGGCATACGCCTTTAATCCTAGCACTCAGGAGGCAGAGCCAGGCAGAACTCTGTGAGTTCGAGGCCAGCCTGGGCTACGGAGTGATTCCAGGATAGGCTCCAAAGCTACACAGAGAAACCCTGTCTCAAAAAACAAACAAACAAAAATCTGTTTTAAAAGCTAGCTTGTTTAAAAGCCTTAAAGTTACCAGCTGGGCAGTCTGAGTCTTTACTAATTTAGGACTAGAGTCCAGTGGTACCTATAAATATATAAATCCATATATAAATCCAAATGGAGCCTGTTTGGTTTTTCACATGTGTAAATTTTCATACTGAGTATACTCTGTTAACATTTGTTTCTCCCTCTTCTATTCCCCTTTCTAGGCAGAAACATTTAGTTGTAATAAAATAAAAGATAATGACAAAGAAGATGGCTGCTTCTATTTCAGGTACTACTTAAATCATTTCCTATTTTTATGTGTGCTCAGTATAGAATAATTCAGGTTAGGGCTGGAGAGATGGCTCAGCAGTTAAGAGCACTGACTGATCTTCTAGAGGACCTGAGTTCAATTCCCAGCACCCACATGGCAGCTCACAACTGGAGTCTGTAAATCCACTTCCTGGGAACCCAAGACCCATGACAAAGCACCAGTGCACATAAAATAAAAATAAATAACACTTAAAAAATGAATAATTCAGGTTAGTGGTTTTTGTAGTCCTTACCTAAGAAAAAGTAGTTTATGATCAAGAAGAAAATATTCAGAAGCTATTTGGAGAAAGGTGTGTTTGCTTGGGTTTTGTTTTGTTTTGTTTTTTAAATATTGCTCCGTAAAAATGTTTTTGAGGAAAATTCTTGTGAAGTATTAGCATTAAAACCTAGAAAATCCATGACAAGAATTTCTTTATGATATCAGAGCACTTTTGTATAATCATTTATTTTAGCGTGTGTTGTCTAAGTGTGTGTGTGCAGGTGTGCATGAAGGCCAGAGGTGGACGTCAGCTGCTTTCCTGTATCGTACTCCACTGTTTTTATTTTTGAGACAGGACCTCAATGATTCTGCAGGTTGTCATTTTTGGCTAGGCTTGCCAGCCAGTGAACAGTGCCGAGGTTGCAGATATGTGGGTGCTAGGGATCTGAACGCAGCCAGTGAACAGTGCCGGGGTTGCAGATTTGTGGGTGCTAGGGATCTGAACGCAGCCAGTGAACAGTGCTGGGGTTGCAGATATGTGGGTGCTGGGGATCTGAACGCAGCCAGTGAACAGTGCTGGGGTTGCAGATATATGGGTGCTGGGGATCTGAACACAGGTCCTCATGCTTGTGCAGTGGACACTTTACCCACTGATCCAACTCAGGCTAGGCTTGAATTTTCAGGCCTTCTGCTTTTAGCCTCCTTAGTTCTGGGGTTTCAGTCATGTAACACCGTGACTTCTGTTAGATATCTTTGTTCATAGTAAGGCTAGTGTTTGCACTCTTTGTGGTCTTTTGAACAAAAGTTCTAGATTTTTATGTACTCAGATGTGTTGAGACTTTCTTTTACAATTAATCCTCTTTAAAAAGTCTTTAGATTATAAAAACATTCTTTTATATTATGGTGTTGGCAATTCCATGACCAATTGATTTGGTAATTCACTAGTAGGAGGACCCATCAAACTTAGTACAATTTCACTCACTGCTGTGAATTATTGTGGCAAAGGTCACAGAGCAACATCTACAGAGAGAAGACTTGTGATAATATCCAAGAGGAAGCAGTTAGAGGCTTTAAAGTGTCCTCTCCTGGTGGATCTCATAAGGTGTGCTTTAATTCTCCAATATCAAGTTATACAGGGGAGGTGATTAGATTCCCGCCCCCCAGACAGGTAGCTTTGGAGTCTGTCCTGGAACACTCACTCTAGACCAGGCTTGCCTCGAACTCACAGAGATCCACCTGCCTCTGCCTCCCAAGTGTTGGGATTTAAGGCATACACCATCACTGCCCAGCTGGTTAGATTTTTATTGGGAGGTGCTGATATAGCCAGTCCCTGAATGCACATACCATACTTGCAGGCTTCCAGGAGAAAAACAAGCATTTAGCAGGAGCTGTGGTAACACAAATGTTTGATCAGTATAAGCCACACTGAAAAGTACAGAGTATCTGTCATGAATCTAACCTCACAGGTGCCAGACAAGAGCAAATATTGTGAACAGGTCTTTCTAAGAACACTTCAGATCTCCTGTGTTATACTTATACCTGGCATTGATTCTGCTTTGGTATTTTGGGTTGATTTTCTTGGGGAGGGGCACTAGGGGTAGTGATGATAGAAAAGGCAGATCTGGCCGGGCCTTTAATCCCAGCACTTGGGAGGCAGAGGCAGGCGGATCTCTGTGAGTTCGAGGGCAGCCTGGGCTACCAAGTGAGTTCCAGGAAAGGCGCAAAGCTACACAGAGAAACCCTGTCTCGAAAAACCAAAAAAAAAGAAAAAGAAAAAGAAAAGGCAAATCTGACTAGATATTGAGCTTAGAGTCTTACATTTGTTAATACATTCTTCCTGAACTATGCCTAGTGAACTATGTCATGATTATTTCCTTAGAACGTGGTATAAATTTAGTGATCATGATGTTTTTTCCAAAATATGTATGCAGGATTGTTTGTTGAAATGATAGATATTCTTTAGTAATAGTTCTGTTATAAATCATAAATTCAGGGGCTGGAGAGATGGCTCAGGGGTTAAGAGTACTGGCTGCTCTTGTAGAGGATCTGCGTTCAAGTCCTAGCACCTACATATTGGCTTACAACTGTGTATAACTGTGGTCCCATAGGATCTGATAGCCTCTCTGGTGTGCATAAAAAAAAAAAAAATACATGCAGACAAAACACCCGTGTACATAAAATAAATGTCTTTGAAAAATAATAATAAATCATGAATCCGTTCATGTGTCTGTTTCTAGACTACACATTGATTTAATGGCTCATTTGCCTGCATTTTGCCAATACTACAATATTTTAGAAGTCTATTATCCCCTGAAAAAAGTTTCTACCCTATTGTGCTCCCTACAATTCTTGGCCTTTTGTTTTACTATGTAAATTTTAGAAATAATGCAGAAGGTTCCAATAACAAAACACCGATGGTAAAACTGGGATTTTGTGAGGGCAGAAATCTGGAAGCATCTTTCAGTCTCTAAATATGGTATACATTGATAGTGGTTTCTTGAATTTTTCTTATAGTGTTTTATAGTCGTTTTCAAAGTCTTACACATCTTTCCCTAAATTCCTAAGTAGTTGGGTTTGGGGTTTTGTTTGTTCATGTGTAGTTTTTTGTTTTGTTTTGTTTTTTTAACAATATTATTAAGTATTTTTATGTTCTGTTTATTGTGGCAATAGAAATCCAGTTGGTTTGTGTCTGTCGACCTTGTAGGAAGTATCTTTTCCCAGCTCTGTGATTTCTAGTTTTGTTTAGAGTTTTTTTTCAAATGTCTATAAATTATGGTAGGTTTGTTTGCCTTCTCTTCTTATGGGTTCTGTTTTTTTGGTTGTTTTTGGTTGGTTGTTTTGTTGGTTGGTTTTGTTATTGAGCTTTTTTGTTTGTTTTGTTTTCTGCTAATGGACTAGGAGTTCTAAGTTTTTATGGTGATAGTAGACATCTAATGTCATTCTCAACCTAAAAGAGAACATTTAATTATTTTCTTTGGGTGTGTATCTTCTAACGCTTCACTTCTGGAGGCTAGGGAGATAGCTTAGTTGGTAAGATATTTGCCATGCAAGCATGGTGGCCTGGCTTGTTTTGGGGTTCCTAGCTAACAATTCATGTTACTATCTCGTACCTAGCACTGGGATTTTTGTTTGATTACCCATGGCTTCTTGGATTTACATTATTATCCACATTGCTTTTTCCTTAGTGTGTGATATAAAATGGTATTAAAAAATGTTCATACTTGTGTGTGTTTAAAATTACCTTATAAAATAGTAAGCTCATTACTTTTCTTTTGCTTTGATTAAATATCATGTCCGAGAGAACTTACCAAATAGTTTATTTGGATTTAAAGTTCCAGAGGGATGAGTCCTTGGTTGGGAGTTATGGCAGCAAATGCATAGTGGCAAGCAGTTAGGCAGGAGAAGGAAACATCTTCCAACACAAGCATGGCAAACTGAGAGGGAACTGGAAGTGGTGTGGGTCTTTAAACTCTCCAAGTCCTCCACCAGTGGCACTCTTCCAACAAGGCTGCACCTTCTAAACTACCCTGAACAGCACCTCCAGGTGGGATCAAGTGTTCAAATATCTGAGCCTATGATGAATACTCTCATTCAGACCAGTAAGTTTCCCTACACTTTTCGTTTTGGTTACCCCCCTCCTTCCACTGTTCCTCATCCCTGTCTGCATACCCTCCTCCTCACTTAAACCATTCACATGTGTTCTACTATTGCCCACCCTCAGGCCTCCTATCCACATGGCCCCTTTCTAGATTCATGCCCTCTCTATATACATAATATATTCCAAGTTAAACACATAGATCTAAAAATTCAGAGCTGTGATCCACATGAGAGATAACATGGGACATTCATCTTTTTGGGTCTGGGTTAGCTTCATTTAATATATCTTCCAGCCATATCCATTTTCTAGCACATTTAATTTTTATAACTGAATAAAATTTATCCCACTGTCTATTTATACAACATTTTTGTTATCCAGTAATCTTTTTTTGGGGGTGGGGGGCAAGACAGGGTTTTTCTGTGGAGCCCTGGCTATCCTAGAACTAGACCAGGCTAACTTCAAACTCAGAGATCTGCTTGCCTCTGCCTCCCAAGTGCTAGGATTAAAGCGTGTACCACCACTGCTCGGCAATCCAGTAATCCTTTGTTGGACATCTAGACTGGTTCAGTTTTCTAGCCATTATGATTACAGCAGCAGTAAACATGGTTGTACAGTTCAGTTACCTTTGTGGTAGGATATGGAATCCTTTGGATATGTGCTCAGGTATATCTGGGTCATATGGTAGTTCTGTTGGTCGGCTTTTGTTTGTTTGTTTTTAAGAAACCTCCAGACTGATTTTCAAAGAGGTTCCAGCAGTGTACAGTCTACAAACAGTGTATAAGGGCTATTACTGTGACAGGCTTGACCATGCTATTTCTATGGAAGAATGTGGGAGACTTTGGGACTTCCTAGTAGGAGCTTGGAATTCAGTAGTGCTAAGAGCAATGTAGACTATAAAGGCCCAACTCAAGAGGTTTCAGAGGAGAATAATATTAGCAACTAGGCTAGAGAAGATTCTTGTGATATTTTGACAAAGATTATAGCTGCTTTCTGCCCCTGTTCTAAGAAACTGCCTGAGGCTAAATTGAAAAGTAATTGGCAAAGAATATTTCAAGACAGCCTAATGTTGACTCTGTCATGTGTATTAGTAATCAGTCTTAGGTAAATCTATAATGAAAAAGAGCAAGTAGGCAAAAAGAAATACAAAATATGCAGTTTAAAG